TTTACTTTTCTACGGTATCGCCGACACCCTTTCCGAAGACTGGTCGCAGTCAGAATCTCATATCCGCGATAATCTTTCCACAATATTAGGACTAGATCTACCTGGCGAGGCAATATCCCGTGCTCATAGATTAGGCTCATACTCAACTAATAAATGCCGGCCAATAATTGTTAAATTCTCTTCCTCTAAATTCAAGGCGAATGTGTTTTCTCAGCGTTTTAAGTTGAAAGGAACAGGAATTTCAGTCAGTGAGGATTTCTGTCCGGCTACGCGGCAGTTACGTAAAAAGTTAATCGATTTCGGTAAAGGCACCGGTCAGAGGTTCTCGCTCAAACTAAACAGGCTGCACGTTAATCAAAAGGTGTATACTTACTGCCCTGTAACAGATTGTGTTTGCGAAGTGACTCCTAGTCACGCTCGTGAAGCTAACAACGCCGCGTCTCTCCCTCCGGGTGCCAATATTACAGTTTCCGCGCCGCAACCGGGCACCGATAACGCAGTTTCCGCACCTGGTCCAAGCAATTATAATTCACACGCGTCATCAACATAACTATGTAAAGGCCCGGCGACTAACGCTATCTCAATATTGTATTCTAACGTGCGAAGCGTGTGCAACAAACGCGACGCTTTGTCATCTCTTATCGACACGTGTACAGCTGATATTGTTATCCTGACCGAAACGTGGCTTTCTAGTAAAATTGCTGACAGTGAAATTTTTGAGTGTGAAGGTATGTACAAATTTTATCGTTTCAATCGTGACTCGCGCTCAGGTGGCGGTGTTCTTATCGCTGTTCGTGATTCTATAATATCGAGCGTTATACCACTTAACCTATCATTAGAGTTCGTGTGTGCCCGTGTACATGTCAGAAACAAGGATTTTATTTTTTGCGCCTGCTATCGACCCCCCGCTTCGTCTAGTACATTTTGCTCTGAGCTTCACGATGTCTTAAATAGATTGGTAGTACGGTTTCCTTCTTCGTCTTTGCTTCTTCTGGGGGATTTTAATTTTCCCACAATTAACTGGAAAAGTGACACCCCCACAGTAAGTGATCACTCATTACAGGCTCTTTCGTTTCTAAGCCTTTGTCTTGATTTTAATTTAAAGCAACTTGTACAAGAGCCTACACGATGTTCATCTCATTCTTCCAATGTATTAGACCTCATTCTCACTACAACCCCTGAGCTTGTGTCTCCCTTAACATACTTACCAGGTTTAAGTGACCATTGTGTTATTCAGTTCGACCTGCAGGCATCTGCTTCCTCATATAAAGCATTTAAGATTATTCGTGACTACAGAAATGCCGATTTTGTTTCAATTAATAATGAATTAGACACGTTTCTAACTGATTACATCTCACGTTTTCATACGCGAACGGTTGAAGAAAATTGGTCTCTCTTCAAGCAAAAAGTGAGTGACCTAACTGACCAGTACATCCCTCTGAAGCGCATCCGCTCTAATTCACAGGCACCTTGGTTTAACGCACGCCTTAAGCGTCTGCGAAATAAAAAGAAACGGTTATTTCGGCGCGCAAAATTGACAAAAAGTGCTGAGCGCTGGGACGCTTACGAAGCTGCTGATACGGAATATAAACAAGCTGTCGCACAATCAAAGCAGGAGTTTTATCAGTGTACACTTTTTTCTCTTTTAAAAGATAACCCACAAAAGTTTTGGAGCGTGGTCAGCGGTAGTAGATCCAGTGCGGTTGAGCTTTGTGATGCGAATAATGTTCCTGTAGATCTAAACGATTGTTGCAATGTCCTGAATGATGTGTTTGCTTCTTATTTTTCCCACACGACTCCTACCTGTTACCCCATTGTTTTCAGCCCTAATTATGGTCCTATGTTTCCTGTTAGTATTGATTCATTTGGTGTCGACTGTTTAATCCAGAAGCTTAAAATTTCTGCGTGTGCTGGGATTGACGGAATCAACTCAAAATTCCTGAAGAGTACCGCCACCTATTCATCTTTGATTCTTTCCGAAATTTTTTCACAGTCTTTGCAGTGTTGCACGTTACCCAACGATTGGAAGGTAGGGAAGGTGGTTCCTTTGCATAAATCAGGTACTGCTCACTCCCCACTTAACTACAGGCCCATATCATTGACTAGTGTACCGTGTAAATTACTTGAACATATCATTTACTCTCACCTTGTTGCCTTTCTCGAGTCCAATTCTTTTTTTACTAATTGTCAACACGGGTTCCGAAAATTTTTTTCTTGTGAAACACAGCTCGTATCGTTTACTAATGACCTGATGGTTGCCATTGATGCCGGGCTAATAGTTGACTGCATTTTCTTATGGTGAATTCCACTCGTAGATCTGGAGCGCTTTCCAAAATCCGCGAGGGAGGCGAAATTCCGCTCCGTGGGACCCGCTCCGTATCGACGAGGGGAAGATAAACTTGCATTTTTGGAGCGACCTCCCCCACACCCCCCACACCCCTCCCCACCCCTTCTCCTTCCGCCGTTTAAAATGACCGCTGCTCGAACTTGACCAGCCCACCAACGCCTCAGCCGGCTGATCTTTCCGACGACCAGTGACGACTGTCACTGCTTAGCTGCAGAAGTAACACGCGACACAGGCCGGGCGGAATTATACGTACCACGGCGCCCATGTCACAAATAGCGAAGACGTCCGCGTTCGGCACCGTCACATACCTTTCGGCCGCCTCGAAGCGGCGGGGCACGGACAGCGATTGCCAGCGGTGGAGTTCAGATTGCTAGTACGACTTTAATAAACACAGAGGTAACAAACCATCACTTGCGCGGTCGTTGCCTAACCACTTCTTGCTTTATTTCACGGGAAAACGCCGATGGAATGCAGTGTAAAAAAGTAAACAATCACTGGCTGCAGAATGAATAGGCCTAACCTTGCGTCTGCCTCCGGCTTTTCTGTCGTTCTTTTTTTCGTTCTTCCTCGGTGATCACAGATGTCAGCGCTTACGATTTGCCACGCTCCACATTCCCGGCTTTTTATCCCTGATCTACGCGAGGTAGAAGCGTTCGAGCCGTCACAGTCCAGAGTAAACAACCGACGCACCCGAACAGATCCAAGTCCACGACCCGACCAACCCGACCGTGGCCCGACCGGCCCGCCGATCTCTCCAACCTCGCCGCGCATGCGCACCGCCGATTTAGACGGAAATCACGTGGGCCGCTCTGTCAACTTCCGGAGAGATCTGTGAAACCCCGCAGTGCAAGTTCGGCGGAGTTTGGGGCGCTCCGTGGAGCGGGCGCTGCCAGAGATCTACGAGCGGAAGATGACCAACTTGAGCCAGATCTGCGAGCGGAATATGCGCGCTCCAAATGGAGCGCTTTTGGAGCGCTCGAGATCTGCGAGCGGAATTCACCATTAGATTTTGCTAAGGCTTTCGATTCTGTCTCGCACGACCTACTTCTCTTGAAACTGAGTAAACTTAATATCGATCCTAACATCTTGGGCTGGATTAAATGTTTTTTATCTAACCGCTCACAATATGTTTCTGTCAATGCGCATGATTCTTTTACTACTCCTGTAACGTCCGGGGTACCACAGGGATCTGTCCTAGGGCCTCTCTTGTTTTTAGTCTACATTAACGACCTCCCATCGCAAATTGTCTCCTCTATTAAATTGTTCGCGGATGACTGTGTACTTTATCGCGTAATTACTAGTGCCCAAGAGTGTGCTATACTACAGTCAGACCTCGACGTAGTTTCTTCTTGGTGCGCTGAATCCCTAATGAAGCTTAACGTTACTAAATGTAAAAGCATGCGTGTTTCGCGACTCTCTAAAAACACTGACCCTGCCATATACATCCTTAATGATATACCATTAGATGCTGTTGCTTCATACAAGTATCTTGGTATTCACATAACTCATAACCTTTCCTGGAACATGCACGTCGACTATGTCTCTAATAATGCTAATCGTATGCTTGGGTTTTTGCGGCGCCATTTTCGTTCCGCTAATCTTCCCGTCAAACTGCAATTATATAAAGCCTTAGTCAGGCCAAAACTCGAATACGCCTGTTCTGTTTGGGATCCGGGTCATGTAACATTATCACACATTCTCGAATCAGTCCAGAACCGAGCAGCCCGTTTTATCCTTTCTAATTATTCTCGTACTGCTAGTGTTTCATCAATGAAGACAACTTTGGACTTACCTGACCTTGCTTTACGCCGTAAATACTTTCGTCTTTGTCTTTTCCATAAAGTCTATTATTCTAATCCAATTCTAAAAGATCAACTACTTTTTCATCCGTCATATGTGTCACCTCGCCACGATCACCAGTGTAAGGTTGGCACGCCGACATGTCATACGAACATCTATTTTGACTCTTTTATTCCAAGAACATCTAGCGAATGGAACCACCTCCCTGCCTCCATCGTGTCCATCCAGGACGTCACATACTTCAAGAAGCTTGTCAACGATTTCATCTGTACCACCCACTCCTCTCTGTAGAGCCTCCGGGCATTGAGAGTATGAAAATAAATAAATAAATAAACCCTAGTTTTTAGGTTTAATTTTTTTCTTCGTGAAATCTACTATAAAATTTTAGTATGATAAATACACCACCTAAAGACACCTTCACGAAAAGTTTCAATGCTCTCCATTCATTGGTTTATTCATACGAAAGATTTTGCGCCTGAACGGCGCTCGAGCACACCCTGTAGTTGAGCGAATGGAAGAAAAGGCGAGCCTCTTTCGCACTATACTCCGTTTCACCTTCCGTCCGAGCACAGCGGACGCTAGGAGCCATCCCAGCCAATGCGACGTTGAGGGAGTGTCATGCGACCTTGAGCTCCCTGTGTCGCCCCGCCCCACCGGCAGGTCACGCGACTTTCTGCCGGCGCTGGATCGGCTGGGATGGCTCGTGGCGTCCACTGCGCTCGGACTGAAGGTGAAACGGGGTATAGTGACATTAAAAAAAAAAAAAAAAAATCTTTGCTTTCAACGCATCGCCATACAATAAACATTGCATGGCCACTCCTTTGGAGCAGAAACGTCCAATAACACGGCCAGCTAAGATGCAGAAATATCTTTATTTCAGTACCACTGCGCCGTTGGACAGACACGACACCCCACTCATGCCAAGTTTCTCCCGCGCTGCAAGCCTTCACTCACACGGCGGAAAAAAAGTGCGGCAAGAGCGTCGGTTGCTTCGAAAAAGGCAGAGCCGTCCTTGCATAAAAACACTGCGCAAACCTTCCTCGGCGCTGCCAAGACACGCTAATATATTGCAGGCTTCAGAAACCGCCACTGGGCAGTCGTATCAAAGCGGGAAGACACGCAAACACGCACACACAAGTACTGCCACATCAAGATTCCACCAACAACGAAAGGCATGTGAACTAATGAAGTCCCTCGAAAGGGAAGTGGGAAAGGGAAAAGAGGTTTGCTACCGCCACTGCTGCCAGTTATACTGTAGTAGTAGTTGTCTTAGAACCACCAATGGATAGCAAGTGTAGCACAGGGCGTCTCCCCCAAAAATTTGCAGCATTTTTCTCGCCGCAGAAACAAATGATGCATCGTCGAGTGCTCGGTTTCTGCTGAAGCAGAGTGCTAGCGGTCACAACCAGATGCCTAAGTTTCAGAACCAACCCTTGTCTCCATAAATAAGTTATGAGCAACTTTCTGGAAGTTTTAATGCGAAATGGGGCACACAATATTCACTTCCATGCAAACTTCATTGTCCATCATTCTTTACAAAAAATTTCAATGAAGTTGTTCAGAATTTTTGAATAATACAAGGCCCAGCTTTGAAATGCTGGCAGCTAGTTGGGACCAATAGGGCTATACTTGGGTGGAGACAGAGCGTTCGGCAATCCAGAGGCGAGAAAAATGCAGTATATTATTTCAGGGACGCCCCATACCTTTCTTTCAAGCCTATACATAGGTAGGGGGTGCTCTTGGTTTCACTTGTATTTTGTATGTACATGGTCCGAGGGGGCGACTCTCTAACTGACTTGCACCTCCTGCAAAAAATGACATTCAAGACTCGTCGGCTGCATGAAACAAAGGGTTCAAAGTGATCGTCGTAATAAAGAGGAGAATCTTTGATCAGTGATGCGGTTATTAACAAAGGAGTGGAATGGAAGTCACTTCCGAATCGCTAAAGGTACGACGCTTCGAAGATGACCTTGGAAATGTGAACTTCTGTCACCTAGACTTTCAAGATGGCTTCCTGGGCCGTCTTGAAAGTATAGAGGTGACACAAGACGCCAACTTAACCCTTTAACTGCCATGAGGAGCCTAATACATCAATGTTTTGTCTCTTTAAATATACCCGAGGGATTTATATTCCATACCACGTCAGCAGAACTCAACAACCTCGAAAGAGGAGATCCTGTTGCCTATGTCCTCGTATGGCAGGAGCATCTTTAGAGTCTGTTTCAACTACGGTAGTAGTGAGTCTACGGGCGTGTGCTTGTAGATTTGGCAGGTTCTCTGGCTCAGGCAGCCGAACAACGTCCTAAGGCGATGCTCGTGCTGTAGCCTTAGCTCTACTACCACAACGAGATGAAACGGAGTCTCTCCGAAGCAATGACTTCGGGATTCTAGGGCCTCTATTACTGCTCGTAAAATATATGTTAATGGAGGAACAAAACTTGTCGTGTTTGGCAGTTAGAGGGTTAATGCACAGAGGGATATGTTTCCACAAAAGACACTCTCTTCAAAACAAGACGAGACCTTTTCCTTGCCTCTGCGTCTTAGTCAATGCTAAAAAACTACGTGAAGGAGTGTGCGATCGCGACGATTTCACTCCGCATGTGCCGTACAAAGACGGCTCTGCGTCGGTGCAGTGGGGATTCGAAACGCACCCCATGAGGTAAAAGAAACATTTTCTCTCTCTTCCGAATGCTCAATGTGTTTACCACGTGACACGTCTTGTGCTCGAAATTCCAGATGAAGCATATTCGCACATATACACGCAGGCATGCAAATGTACGATTGCATGCACACACACACTCACTCAAAAGAAAAACAAACACAGAATACATTTAGTAGCATGAAAACAACAAAATTGTTGTCCTAATGCATACATTAAAAGGGAGCAAAGAAAAATGCTAGGGGAAACATCAAATCACCAGAATAATACAAGCAGATCTTGCTCCATATCTTGATTTAAAAAAAAAAAAAGGAAGCGAAATTGCACGGGCAGTTGCAATGCAAGCACACGGAGACATTCGATGATGCAGTCGATGTTGATGCCACAAAGTTGGAACTCCAGCTGCCACATATGTTCCACACTTCGACCTTTGGAAATTGGGGGGGCTCAAACGATGCCCTCCAACACAACGACGTGTCGATTGCACTTGAGCCAGTGGCAAGGACTGGCCCGAGCAACAACTCGCATTCACTGGTCGCAACGCGTCGCGGGAGTCGCGCGACTTCTTCCGACACTCCCGTCATCTCAGGCACGACTTCCGTCGCGAGCACTCGGCTCGTTCCGTCTTGGCAAAGCGGATGCTTCTCAAAAACACCATTCAAAGCACTTGCACGTGGAGATGTATCCAAAGTCATGGAAACTAAGGTCGCCGCCGCCGAACGCTGGCAGGCGTCTGTGCAGGCCGGTTGCCCTTTGTCAATCCAACTTGTCCAACCGGTTTTTTTCCTCAAGAACAACAAAAAAATCTAACATAAATTATGCAAAAATTAATGCGAGAGACGATGCGCCGGCGTCTTCTTTCCTTTCTCGAAAAAACGGAGGGCGAGGGAGGCGAGAACGAAGCACAATTGTCCGGGAATGACAACCGAAGTTTTGATCTTGCGACGGAAGCATAGGAAACAAATGCTCCCGAACCGCCCTTGACACTGCTTACGACACCCGCAGGAAGGGGATCCATTCGCTGCGCCCAAGGAACCTCGAACAAAAAAAGATTGGACTCGTCCATGCATCGCGGGGCATGAGCCACACTCCGCTCACCCCTATGCAGACGGTATGACAGGAGCTACGCATTCATTGGACCAGTCGACAGCCTCCCTTTTATCGCTCAACCCCGCTCTCCGCGCGTGTTACAGGCGGGAGCGCAATCACGTGGGGAAAGGCAGACGCACGGCTGGTCCACCAAACACGCAGCTTCGACCACACTGTCCTTTATTGACTGGTTCACACACCAGCGTTTGGCCGTGACCGAGAACATCGTGCAGCCTTGTCCTCTCTATCTCTCTCTCATCGTGGAGAGGACTACGATGAGCGATACTGAGAGAGAGGACATTATTCTTTTGCGATGGACTTGAGAACCTTTAGAAAACGTTATAAACCATTGGTTCTCAAACTGGGTTACTGTTTGCCAGACTACCCTCCTAAGTTCTGCGAATTCCCAAACTTTCTTGACTGTCCCTGCCCTCAGGTACTGTTTTAGCAGATCTGAGCCACCCATTGTTGCGTAATTAAGGGCCAAATGCTCCCAACCATCGGCATTATTTACATTGTCGGTAAGCTCCTGTACCGTTTTACGGCATCAATGGAGAGACCGGGAGGGGCTCTTTGACCGCCATTCGAAGTGGATGGGGCTCCTCGAGATGGACAACACGGTACACGCATTCTCATGGATAGAGCACACGTCCGATCTCGCAAATACCGCGAGACCTTCGCTCCAGTTGCACGCAGTTCTGGGGCCACCGCGCAGATTGTGCCAGCGTGTCATCTCGGGGCAGGCGATCGCAAGGAAGCATGGAGCCGCATGATGAACTCGGTCGCAACCGAACGGGAGCACGCGAACCAGCCCTCGAGGGACAAGCGGAGCACGGAGAGGGGGAGACGGCGACAGAAAAAGACGCGGAAAAATGGAAAAGCGGCGCGTCGGCGGAGAAAGACCTGCCGAATTGTCATTGCGTCACGCGCCGGCGCGCACAGACTGGAGTTTGACGGCGATTCAGTCGGCGGCGGCACTGGGGCGTTCCGAGGTGCGCGGTTTCCGTCTGGAAAATGTCTTGGCGGCTTCCTTGGTGCCGTTCCCGTCTCCTCCGTTTTCGCTGTCCTCGTCTTTCCAGTCGTACTCGTCACCAGATGCCTTTTCGTCGTTCGAAGAGCCCCCCTTGGCCTTGCCGCCGCGTTTGCCTGCGCGGGTGAAAGTGAAGTTTAGAAAGACATCCGCCGCGGCCGACGTGCTCCCAAACAAACAGTCTCTTAGTTTCAAGTGCGCGGAATGTCTACCAAACCGCTTCCCCTCGAATTCTCCCACTTTCTCAAGTTTTACCCAACGTTTCTATTAAATTCCCGGGTTGCCACAAAAGAGGACTACTGAGAGGACGGGGTTGTAGCCGTCGTACGGGCCATTCCCGTTTAATCCGGTGAAACGGGGCTCACGCCGCCTGGCGACGCCTTGGACGACCGTGCCCCCGCGACGCATCCTGCCTCTCCATTGCGTGGTGCTGTGCCGCCCGTGTTGCCCGATTTCCCCTAACATCACCTATTTTCTGACAATTTCTGTGACAATTCCAGATTTTTTCAGGTTGGTAGACACACTAATAGATGGCACCAGGGTATTCTCTCGTCATAACCAGTTACGGGCACACGCCACATGCTCGGTCAACCTTGACTGCGGTTGTGAGAGGCAACCTTCATTTGCACCATCCTTTGTTGCTACCCTAGTTTCATGCTAAATTTCATAACCATTCTAAATTCCTCTCACCCTTTTTGCTGGCAGGTGTCTGACTTGCTGGTGCCTTCTTTGTGGGGGTGGTGTGTTTGAAGTTCTTAAGATGTAGTGCATTCTTCCTGTGAAAACACAAAGGACAAGGTACACTCAGCAGACTGCAAGATAAATTTGCACGAAACCCTTCCCCCCCAGAGACCCTTAAAGAGATATTACAACAAAATTTTGGCACTTATGTTTTGGTTTATACTTGTTCAAAGCAGCAGTATCACATCGGACACATCAATATCTTATTAAAAAAGACATAAAAAGGAATTTTAAAACAAATTAAATGATTAGCAAAGAGCACCTGGAGGATGTCGCTAAAGCCTCGTTTGTAATGTCTGTATAGGAACCTTGACAGGTAGTGACGATAACTGCCTCGCCTAGAACTATACTTGATTTGAACCTGACGTCCTCCTGACGGCTCTACGGCCAGCACAAGAGAAGAGGAAAGGGAGAAACTCCCCACTCATTGGGACTCTCTTTTGTGTGTCCCAGACGTTGCCATTTTCCCTCTACAAGATTATAAAAGATTAACCCGTCACTCAAAATTCACACAAACGCAGTTTTGCAGTGGCCCGATTCGCTGGCGTGCTTCGACCGCTTCAGTGGCGGGAATGCCCTGGGGCATCGTGACGACGCCAGACTAGCCACATCTTTGCTCATCCCGAGACAAACCACGTCACGATTGCGCCGGACGTGACATGCTCTCCGCTGGCTGCTCTCCGAGCGCTTGCCAGAGTGGACCGTTTATAACGAAAAATACGGCCATCAGGCTCAAAACACAAACATGTGATTGTCATTTACGGATACAGTGGATCACATTCAGCCTATTTTTCAACAAGACGGGTATATTTAAAATTTCGTTAAAGTATTCCTTGGAAGACCGACCTACAGAATCGTCTTCTGCCGCCAGAAACCGGTTCCCAGTTTCCTTTTCTCCATTCCCTCTTGCACTCTTCTCTCCACTCCCCACGGAGTGGATCTACGAGCTACTCCCCACAGTAAGGCAGGGGTTCCTCCTTTCTCTCGAATGAAAAGAAGGAATTGAGGGAAAGTCTACTCCTTTCTGGTTGTGCGTCGACCTTTAAGGGAAAACACGCACCAAAAAAGTCAAATTCTATACCACTTGACTGATTCTAATAAAAATATGCAGGATAGGATTAGATTACCAATGAGCCCATCTGCGCAAAGTTTATCATTGCAAGTCAATTCTAGAAATTACTTACAATGACTGCAAAGTCCAAAAATTAATCAACAAACAAAAAAACAAAACACATTTTTTTTTTTTTTTTTTGTGAGGAAGATGGCTAACACTGTTTAAAAATCAAACTTCGTCGATTTGTCCAAGAGTTTGAAGGTTCGCCGAATCAGTCGAACCTCAGGTTTAACAAAATGAAATACACATGGCACAGAAAGGCAATGTCCTTCTGTAACATCCATACTTTCAACACTGATGCATGGGTCAATATGACCTCGGTGAGGTCCCTACAATGCGTGGCTATTTAGTGACTCTATTCTATGCTTGAACAAGCCAGTGGTAGTTGAAAGCAACCACGTAACCACAGTTGAGGAAGGGTGTTGAACAACAACACTGTCAACAGGACGACAGTTCAAAGCAGTCCCAAAACCATGATTGAAAGCAACTGAGGTTGAAAGCAACCGAGGTTAAAAGCAACCGAGGTTGAAAGCAATCGAGGTTGAAAGCAACCGAGGTTGAAAGCAACCGAGGTTGAAAGCAACCGAGGTTGAAAGCAATCGAGGTTGAAAGCAACCGAGGTTAAAAGCAACCGAGGTTGAAAGCAATTGAGGTTAAAAGCAACCGAGGTTGAAAGCAATCGAGGTTGAAAGCAACCGAGGTTGAAAGCAACCGAGGTTGAAAGCAACCGAGGTTGAAAGCAACCGAGGTTGAAAGCAACCGAGGTTAAAAGCAACCGAGGTTGAAAGCAACCGAGGTTGAAAGCAACCGAGGTTGAAAGCAATCGAGGTTGAAAGCAACCGAGGTTAAAAGCAACCGAGGTTGAAAGCAACCGAGGTTGAAAGCAATCGAGGTTAAAAGCAACCGAGGTTGAAAGCAACCGAGGTTGAAAGCAACCGAGGTTGAAAGCAACCGAGGTTGAAAGCAACCGACTTTGAGAGCGACTGAGGCTGACAGCAACCGAGCTTGAAAGCAGCTGAGGTTGAAAGCAACCAGGGTTGAGAGCAACCAAGCAACAGGAGCTCTAGAGGGGCATCGAGCAACAACACTGACAGCAGGGTGACAGTTGTGAGCAGCCACAAAACCCCAGTTGAAACCAACCAAGGTTGAGAGCAACCAAGCAACAGGGGCTTTAGAGGGACGTCAAGCAGCAACACTGACAGCAACACAGCATGCAAGAGTGTGAGGGCGAGAAACCCAAGGATGTGCACCTGAAGCAGCCTGCTCCCCACCGACACAAGGGTCTGTTGTCTTCCTCGTCCTCCTCCTTGTCCTGGTCCCTCTTGCCCTTCTTCCCCTCCTCCGCAGCATGATTCTGCCGATTCTGACCCTGCTCGTCTTTCTCCTCACCCCCTTCGTCTTCCTTGTCCGATGACTCCCCCGCGTAGTCGGAATCGCCCGGGTGGCTGAACTGCTTGAGGTGCTGTCCGCTTTTCCTGCAAAAAGAGAAGATTGGTCGCCTCACCTACAGCGGAAACACCCCACGTCCACCGGGGCTCCTGTAACTTCCCGCTGTCTGAACACGTGCCCGACGAAGTTGCTTTTACCGCCGAGAACTAGGCAACTGAGCCATCCGTCCCTCTGGAAAAACACTTGCCCCTTTCCACGCTATCGTCGCAAAGGAAGTATTAACACAGAAAGTATTGCGCATTGCTCTTTGGCAATGTTGCGCATATGAACATGGTACTCACTCTATGCCTCGATGGTGCGAACATCGTCGTGCGTCTCTGAAAGAAAACCCTGGTACAGCTAGCTCCGGAGTGAGATTGGAACACGAAGTTGGCGTGTCTTCTGACTGCAAACCTCAAGTGGCTATTTTCCGTCTCTCCATTTCGTCCGATTCGTGTGCTTCTTCTCTTCCCCCTCCGGCACACTCTCCAACCATACATTTCCTTGTGTATTTTCCTCACAAGTGTCGAATTTTTCGCTGTCAGGTCAAATAAATAGATAAGGAAATAAAGAAATAGTGATTACGTCTTTTGTAATGTATTCACATGACTGAATTTTTCTCCGAGGAAGAGATTACCATATTTACTAAAATTTAATGAGTTTTTTTTTTCAAATTTTCTGTTACCTAATGTTGGCCCTCGCGTTATAATCGAGTCACCGTGAAATTGGCTAGCCATTTTGAAATAATTCTGTGTACCAGCTGTTGTGTTTCTGTGAGTGCTGAAGTGGAGACCGCCCAAAAGTACCTTACTCTACCCAAGGCGCAGAACCCTTAAAGGGGCACTGACACCCCAAAGGTTGTATTTATTTTTATTGTCTAAAACGATGCATGTTGCAGTCATAAACACGAAAAAAAAAACGCATCGCGAAAAAAAATTTTCCCGCCTTTCGCCTCCTCGCTTCTTTTGATCGGTGACGTCAAGAATCATGAAATTTAGAAGCTTTGTAGGCGACATCTGTATAACATTTAATTACGGCAATCCTAAAATATGTTTTTTAACGCAATTGCGAACGCACTACGGCCCTTCTTTTTGAAATACCAAAAATCGGGAGTTCGTTGTGGTGCCGTCTCCTGGATTTGTATCCTCCAACGGAAAACAGGCAACACCGCTCAAAACCGGTCCGCCGCAACGCCGGCGCTCGCTCCTTTCCTCCTCGCTTTGGGTCGCCATGGCAACAGCAGGGAGTGGTGAAAGAAAGTGGACTCTCAGGTCTCCGCAATTTTTGACGTTAAGGCACCGGCGCCGATCGCGCGGGAACTTCAAGTTCGGCCTTTGGAAATTGTTTTTTTACTTCACAAATACTGAATTCCCAAATTTCAAATTTTGAGGGTAATGTCCCGGCATCGTTTTCGATCGTTTCGGATAATAAAAAAAAATATGATTTTGATGTGTCAGTGCCCCTTTAAGACATCAGGCAGGTGGTGGCCTTTGCCGAGGGCTCTAAACCCAAAAAGAAAAGACTTCCGGAAGCCATGAGACGATCTGGGACCATCAGCCCTCGCAAGGAAAAACACCGGCGTGCGCATATGTGTCTGTGTGTCTGTCGGTCTTGTGTTTCAATTCGAGTGGCAAGAGCGACGACACCTTGCATCAGACACCGGAGCATGGCAAGAGCGGCTATGGGTTGCATCATCTGCACCTCGCTGAAAGAACACAGGGCTAGTGCATCAGCCGTCCCCGCACCTTGAACATCATGTGAACATTCCAACTCCGGCGAAGGCTCCTCTTTCTCAAAGGGCCTTCTCGCCCTCGGGCCATATAACATGGTCTTAGGGAGCCCGAAGACGCCGATTAAAATGTCGATCAGCTACCTGTATATCCACAGTAAAAAAAAAAGTTCTACTTCAGTAATCCCCCTCCAGGTCTGTTTCCTCGGGACTATGCGATCAGCGAGCCACAGCCCCGACTCCTGGTTCTGCACCTGAGTTCGTTCCCTCCCAGTTGCAACAACCCGCTGTTTTTTAATACTGTCCTGGCAACATATGCTTATATGGTTTCTATCAATGAAATTAGTCGAATCCAAATCCGAATCCATCAAAATGTTTTCTTAGCCAACGTTGGTTTTAGTAATTGCAGTGATGTGATTGGCCTAAGCCATTTTAGAGCACTTTCAGCACAGCCAAAACAGTGTTTTGGAGCAGCAAATATGGCTTCTGGAGCAGCCAAGACAGTGTTTCGGAGCAGCATAAGTGGCTTTTGGAGCAGATATTCTTATAAAAATAAAAATATTCATTTAAAGTGCTGTACAAATGAAGGGCACTTTGTGTTTTGACTTCTGTAGTGTTCTAATGTGACGTGTTGTGAAGGAAGTTCCTGCTTGTGTTTTTACTGCTGAGACATCTAACAAGTGTGCAGTGCTGCAGGCATTGCCGAGCAAATCCGAAAAACTGCTTGCCACCGTTTTACTGGTTCCCGGCGTACCAGATTTTCGTCTAAAAAAAGCAAACGTAAAAAAAAAAAAAAAAAGATGGATTGCAAGCGTCCCGGCTGGTGCCTCTGCTGTGCAGTCAAGTTCACAAACACGTGAGGGCAACTTCAACAGGCTTGCAGTTGTGCGTGCATCGTCGCGCGAGCGGAGACAACGGCTGTTCGATCGAAAATGAAACCATGTCACTCTGCTCCGTCGCCAAATGATTCCCAAACATACGACGAAAAACATGCCAGCCGCGCGTTCTTGTCAGGCAGGCAAACAAGGTACAAGCTAAACACATAAAAAAAAAGCAAAAAAGAACCAGAACGCATCGATGCAACACATCGCAAGACAGGGTCAAAAAGTTCTTGGAGCGCTTTTTGCAACGACTGAACTCGAGACAAACAAGCGCGCTGTGCGGGTTCAGCGTGCATACATTGCCTTCTTTGTTTTAGCTCACTTCTCTTCACCAACTTTCTTTTGCAGCGGATTTTTCATGTACCAAAATCCCTCTCGAAAGAAAGCCCATCGAAAGAAACCTAGGTAATCAATACTTCGACGCAGCAGTCTTTGAGTTGAAGAGGGATTTTTGTAGTAATGCATGATTAAAACGACAGGAATTTTGATGAACATGCAATGGTACTCAGTTTCATTTTAGAAAGCGTCATATCTGCAGCGACGTGTGGACGGCAGCACCCGACGTCGCGTGACCACGGTGACTAGAAGGCAGGGACCAAATATAGTTTTCTCACGACTGGTGCTTTCAAGAGAGAGTGCTTCAGTTCACAAAGTAACTCAACACAAAGCAAAAACGCGGTTTCGTTTCACAGCATGACGGCACGGCTGGTACCCGGTATGCTATAGCACCGGAGCCTCCGCACACACCCGCGTCTACTGCTGAAAATTTAAAGAAAAAAAGACGAAAGACGAGATCCACGGGACGACGAGAGCGCGAAATGCCAGATGGCGGGAAAACCATGCAGGACCGGATGGACAATTGATCAAGGGTACTGGTGTCGATTGGCTGCTTGCGCCACATAACACACGCAAGCTCAATAAGGTGCTCAGTTTAGTTTCAATATTGAAATGCGAACAAAATTTTTTTTTTGAGCAGGCTTGGCGCAAATTATTCATATTTTGGCAAAATGTAGCAGGATGTAGCAGGGTTAGCCCCTTGGCGTAGTTTGGTGCAATTGGCACAGCAATCACATCACTGAATTGTTCTGTTCTTTGTCGCCTTAAATCTGGCAGTTATGGTGTAGTTCTGGTTGACTTCATTGCTCTGCACTGCTCTAAGGGTCTGAAACATTTTCTTCTCATGTCTTCGCGACATCGAACATTCTACCGAAACCGATGGTAACGCAACATGCCTAGTACAACGCGAGCTTCAAGGAAAATGCATCCTGTTGGCGCTATAGTCGGTTACAAGTCAAGAAGGTAGGAGAAGCTCCTCCCACAAGTGTGATGCGCCCGTTTCAAATCTCTCCGCAGTCGAAAGAAGAGTTCACTGGAAACGCTCCTTGTTCCGCTTCAATGGATTCCCACTTGTCTCCGATCCCACTTTTTACGAAAGCGACCTTTGTATTCATCGGAGAGGGAACCGAGCCCCTGAAAGCAGCCTTTGTATCCATCGGGGGGGAAGCTAATCCCCGAAAGTCGTATTTGTTTCCGTCGGTGGGGGAGAACTCTAATCTCCCTCTCGTGGCTTCCACAGTGCTAAGTCAAAGTCGAAAGATAAAGCAAATATGTACAGAAAGGCAAGACCCTCCTCGCGTGTTGTCCGCGACGTCACGGAAACGGTGGGACGCTATTGGATGCAAAGGTGGCGGAGGGATATCTGATTCCCTTTGAGGGGCATTTGCCGCTACCTTCTTAACCTGTAACTGACTATAGAGCTAGGCACCTCCACCACAACTTGACGGAGAACTTGACCTCTGGTGACGACGACGACGAGTGGCTGAGAACTTTCCCGAACTTGGCAAGTGTTTTTCTGCGACGTCTTTCAAATAAACAAACTTTCTTGCGCCTCCGTTGGTCTTGCATTCGTGGTTTTACTTTTCTTGCGGGACAAAATGAAAAATTACCCCTCGCATTAAAACCGTGGTCACGCTAGAGTCGAGTAAATATGGTGAACATAGAGTCCTGAGGTCACGTGTGCCTGTCACGGCTTGCGGGGAGCCGTGGAGAATCTGCGACCGTCCTGCAGAATATCTGCAGTCCTGTTGGAATCCCCGCTCTGCCTCCTTTTGGGGTAGGATTACGGCTAGCAACGTCAAGCTGCGAAAGTGCCTTTTTCCTTTACCTTCTGTTCTATGAGCCCCTGAAGGTTGCAAACATGTTCACGAAAAGAAAGACTTTGCTGACTCAACTACACGCGACTCCATCACGCAAATGCTCGCTCAGATTTTCTGCACCACCCCCTCCATCTTACGGCCTTTTCTCCTCGCTGGTCTATAACATACTTGGTTTTCTCCGGAAATAAAAATCTGTCGTGCAAAAAGACCATTTTCATAATCCTTATTTGCCTTAAAATTGTTTAAACACACCAACAGCTGAACTAATAACCCAAATTAAAAGTAAAAATCATTTTTTTGTTTTTTGCAAGGTTGTTGAATTTTTAAATGTTGTTCTTGCAGCTTTTTTTTTTTTTTTTTCATATTTAAAATTTTTTGGTAACGAGAAAGTGATATCAACAGCAGGCAGGGGTTCACTCTTTGCACAGTAGAATTCGTTCCTAACTGATTACGAGGGGTTTGGTGGTCTTTGCACACTTCAGTTCATCAAAGTCACCAGATGCATCCATGGCATATTCCCCAATCACGCACTAATTTTGAACGTATAAGAGTTAAATATACGCTGCCCGAACTACTAAATCAACTTGCATCCCTGTGTTCCTTTTATTTTTAAAACATTATTATTAATGTTATTTCTTTTAAGTGTCCTCTTGTCGTCGTTTGCCTCATAGGGGTACCAAGGGCTCGTCAAGCTGCATAAAAGCAGCTCTTTAACTCGAAACCCCACCGTCGTTCATAATGGAAATAATCAATGATTCAAGCTCGCTCCAGCATTCACGCATCAGCATAAAACAAATGGACTACACACGCCTCCCAGTAACCAAGTATCATTTCTAAACACATATAATAAAGGAAGAGTCAATGCATAGGTTTTCTTCTTAATAATCTAGAAGGAGAGCAAACAGCACTTGCAAGCAGTTGAGGTTTACGAGCATCACATGAAAATATTGTAGGCAAAAAGTTGTCACTTTACTTCTATTCCGTGTAATTTTGGCGTGTCTGCTTCCGCGACATTCCGGCAATTTCAGGTTCCGAATTGGAGGCGTTCTACTGCGTTTCTTCTTCGAACGGTAAGCCCTCGTCCTCTCAATCCAATTGCGAGAAGCATTAAAAGTCTGATGAAACGGAAGAGCCAGCGCTCCCATTGCCGCTACCGCCAAAGCAGCCGACATGGAAAGTGACCATCTCACATGCTTCGCTTGCGCAAAGAGCTTAATTTTTAAAACTACAAACACCTTCATCAAAGCAAAAAGCTGTGCGAATGTCACAGTTTATGCAGACTGAAACTGAGAAAGAGGAGGAGATCAAAGTGCGCGGGGACATCAGACAGCCGAGCTCTGACAAATGATTGGTAGGTAGACGCAAAGCTAGCCGCCTTCGTCTTTACTCGCTCTTCGAACACGTATCAACGCCAAATGCAGGCATCAGGCGTTCGCGTTATAAAGCGTTCGAAGAGAAAGTAGAGACGAAGAGAACCACCCACTAATCATTCCAGTCGGAGCTCGGCTCTACGGTGTCCCCGTGCACTCCGACCCCTCCTCTCCCTCAATTTCTACCCGCACAGTTTGCCAAAAACGCGACAAATAGCATTACCTTCCATGGTGCACGCGGTTTCGCTTTTAGACGGGCACTTTTGGGTGTGTAATCGCCGCCGTAAACGTACGGTGACGACCATCCAAGGGTTAGAGAAGTCCCGCCGAGGCCTGCCCTCACCTGAAGCACTTCTTGCCGTACTTGCAGGACTCCCTCTTGGCTGGCGTGCGCCTGGTGGGCCTCTTGAGGGGTGCGTCGTCGCTCTCCCCCTCCGAGCTCTCCCTCTCTGAAGATGCCCTCCTCCTCCTCTTTCTCTGGACGCGTGTCCTCGTTGCTGGTTGCTGCAAAAAAAGCGTGGCTCTGAATCAAAATGTGCTCAAACCGTCGAGTATGTGAAAGCTCGCCCAGGGGTCGTCGAAACTGAGCTACTACTCAAAACAATGTTTGCTCGAAATGGGTCAACCACGCACCCAAGTGCCTCGATTTTTTGCAAAAGCGTGACACCGGCAATAAGACTAAGCGTGACATACATCTGCATTATCAGAATCTTGGAGCTCAGCAGAGTTTTTGACTGCAAGATAAGTAATGCCTCATTCTTAGCTAGCCTTGTTCCGTAAAATACACCCATATGGTTGGCGACCGATTTTTAGGACACTGATAATTCGGATTTGTTCGACACTTCAAACCCAAAGGAGGAACTCTGACCTACCCGATAGAAATAGTGCATGTTCACGACCAATGTTCCAAAAAGCTTGAAGTTTGAAAGGTCGATTTTTTGGACAAAGTTGTCGCGAGCGAACACCGAAAAGCTGCCATTTTAGATTCTATGTCAGCTTCACATGGATTGGCTTGATTCGGCAGTGCTACTTGAGTACTGCTAAGTCCTACCGCTTGGTGACGCTACGCTACAGCTTTTTTTTCCCCCTAGCTGCGTGTCCCTATCATCATCAATGTTACCATTTTGCTTTGTTCATTGGCTATTCCACAGTTCTGGACATGCGCCTCTTATTTAGTCTTGGTAAATCGTGTTTTTGACTATGCTGCCTTGGACATCATGGCCCCATCTGTTCTTCCGCCGCTGCAAAGTGTCTCTAAGAAGCGTGGAAAGTTCTTGACCATAACACTAGAAAAGAAGGCAGCGATTCTCAAGCTAACAGAGAGTGGCCAAACGCAAGCAGAGGCGTGACCTGAAACAATGACGCTACTGACGGCTTTTTTAAGCCCGCTTAGACGTAATAAAGGCGCGTTTTTTAATCTGCTGATTTTTGAGACTGCTCTATTCTTCTAAAATTTTTTCAGACCCTGCAAAGTCCGAAAAATCGGCTGGCGACTGTATACACTGTGCACCTTCTGCAAGCAAGTGTGCTTGAAGGGTTGGTTCGTAGAGGGCTAAACTTACTTCGACATAAACGTGCGGGTCTTTTTCTGAAGGATCCGTTATCGTAACGAATGAAGTGAATGAATTCCTCATTGGTATATGGTTCTTTTTACCATTTTACAGTTCAACCGCATGTCCTATCTGGAGGCAACCTCAAACTGAGCAGACTCATAATTATATTTTTGAAATGAAGGCACAGCACGACAAGACGTGACTTTTGAGGGCTTTTGTTGTTACACCAGAAAGATTGACGAGACCACATCTCCTACTGCTGATCCTTGAGATGCTTTTTGTATCGAAACAGATGGATGAAAGGAGAGAAACTGGCAAGATTTTCAATTATGCTGAAGAAAAGTTTCCAAACCAACTGCTAACAAATCGCATTATAAACCCCCAGTCCCCTCTGCAATGCCTCTGGCTTTGGAGGCATTTGAATATAAAAAATATATAACTGGATAAATGTATCACAAAAGCAAATGCTATCTGGAAATATGTCAGTAATAGGAATTTCTTTGTTAACACAAAAAAAAAAAAATTGAAAAAAAAAAAGAAGTGCACTTGAAGTAATAAAATATTTTTTGGACACGATTGTGGCCGACGTCAGGGCACAATAAATATGTAATAAATAGTCAGCTAATTACCTAAAACGCACTAACTTTTTTAGTATTCCTTTTAGCCAACCTTAATTTGCCATTGAAAAACAGGAGCGCAATTTTCTTTTCTAAGCCTAAAAACTGCTCAGCATACTTGGAAGTCGGGACATAAATCCCCTGCCGAAATGTGTCGGCAAAAGAAATATTAGAAAAAAAAGTGAATTTCATGCAATGAATTCACTACCTGCGGTGTCACACTAGTGTCCCCATTACGTTGAAGGAATTGTGCCTCTATTTTGAGTGCCCCAGTTTAACAATCATTTTCAGTCTAAACGTCCCACAGGGATGGCTCGGCTCTGTTCCACCCAACGATTTACTGCAAGGAACACGACGAGCCAGCCACCCCGATGTTTCTAGATCAACTCAGTTGCAGAGGTACCCATAGATGACTGCTTTCACAAGCGATACCGCTCTCTCCCCCAAAGGTTTGTATCTTCTCCAAAGAGCCACGGTCTTCAAGATGCCTGTTATGGTAACTGCAGTGTACTCCGCAGACTCTCCAATAAATGTTTGCCGAGAAAGTAAGGAAGAGGAAAAGACTAGAGCGTGCGGGGACGTCAAGAGACAGAGCTCCGATCGGAATGATTAGTGGATAGACCGAAAGCTGGCTGCTTTTGTCTCCACTGCACTCGTCGAACGCGTTCAAATGAGGAAGCCAAAAGCCGGATGCCGGCATTCCGCATTCTAACACGTTACGGGTCAGATCCGGCGGCCTGCAGCGTCCATTACTGAAAAGGGGTACGAGGGTAACAAGGCACCAACACCGTCTGTGGCACGCACCTTCTTTTTGCGGCTTGATGAGCGTTCCCAATCGCTGGCCGAGTCGCTGTCCGAGGGCACGAAGCGGCGTGCCACCCGCTTGGTCTTGCAGTTCTCCTCTTCCCAGTCGCTGCACGAATCCTCCTCGTCCTCGTCGTCCTCCTCCTCCTCCGCCGCTGCCCGTTTCCGCCGCCGCCGGGGCTTCTTCTCCTCTGCGCTGTTGTCCCACTCGTCGTCGTCGCTCGCCACAAAGTCGTCTGCCGAGCAACAAAGGCGGTAAACACAGGGGCCATGGAGGTGGGAAATTTCTGGAGGTGACATGATCCCGCCAGGGATGAAGTCAGAAGTGTGGAGGGACACTCCCCCAAAGATGACCAAAGCCAGAAGACGCTATTGGACGAAAAACTCTTTTGGTCACCCTCGGGCCGAGGGTGACCAGAACAGCTGTTGGTGCCAAGTCAGCTCTCCTTTTCGTCGGTGATTATAATGAGAAAAGGGTATTGTATATTGCCACATATACGTCAACCTTTCCAGAAATCGGTTTCTCAAATTAAGAGTTCTAACAAATGGGTATCTTTAAAAAGAAAAAAATTACTGGTCAGTACTTCGGGAGGGGGGGTTTAGGCCTATTAACGACGGGATGTTTTGGTGGCACCACGCCACGGGCGCCACTAGTGATGTGGCGCCACCAATAAAATCAATCATAATTAAAAATACACCCTATTCACTGTGGTAGAGGTAAAACACTGGGTATTCTATTTTCATCATCCAGATTTTTGCACTAAGGTAGAGAACAGCACACCACCATCCCCAGCACTTCGACACCTCAGCGGAAAAAGTGTTTGTTAGCACAACTACGCGTGCCGCGGTTTGAAGCTTTGGTTTCAAGCTCCTAAAACAAATGTCACTTTACCAACTAAACACAACGGGTGAAACAGGCTTTGCCGTGCGTTACCCAAAGAGTGCATGAAGCGAGCTGACGAGCCGAGGAATCCAAGACCTGTGCGGCCTGTCCCAGTCTGTCCAGGGACGCCTTTTTTGCATGTCGTCAGGGCGCAGTCACGTGACAACAGGGATCACATGACCACCTACGTGCCCCCTCCCCCCTCCATTCCCCCATCTTCTCAGTTCCTGTTTTTATTTTTATTGTGTTGTCCTCTCTCACTCCCAGGCATTTCTCTTCACGTTTAGTTTGTTTGATTGTTGCTTTTTTTTTTTGCTACAAGCTAGAATTTGGACAGCACGGTGAAATGAATGAGTGATGTGCGTGCTAACACCCAGTTGCCGGCAGAGCAGTTAATATCTACCTTTGTGGTTGCGGGTCTAAAGAAACATGTTTGTTTAACGCAGCTACGGTTTTTCACAGGGTTTTTTCATGTAAAATAGTTTTTTGGAGAATAGATGTGACCCAAGAATTGCATCATGGTGAGTGGTGACATGCGCCAAGCTATAGTGAGTGCGAAAAATTAGGGCGCAAACGAGCTGGTTAAAGTTTAACATAATTTAAGACAAAACCACTCGTTTCCATCGCATCAATAGCTTTATGACATGTGTGTTCATTCCAAGCGCGGGGAACGTTGCGGATTACTTTGACATGGCACAGGTGGCATGTGGAAGCGACTGTGTTGGAAGATGTCCGACATCAGTGTTATGCAATCGAGAATATGCGCATGTGCTGTCCAAAACCTTTTGTACTATATACGTGCTATGTGTATCATGTTCATAAGAAAATAAGAAATAAACATTGCAGATCTATAGGGACAGTTGGTTCAAACAAACTTGATAAGTTACATACATTTCCAAGGGGACGCACCGAGTGAGACTTTGTGTGTTGTGTTGTCCTTCGTCTTTTCCCCAGTCTCAGAGTTTTGTCTTAAAAAAAAAAAAAATAGGTGCAGTCTTCAAATTTATTTTCCTACTTGTGGTTTCACTTCTGCCTTTCACACGTTTTGTTGTTATATTGTGACCATGCGGTGAACTACTATGAGCCCAAGGTATGAGTAAGCGATTGATAAGTTTGGGCGTTGACTTATTCTCTACAAATTGTACAAGGTATTCGTCTAGACATTTCCATGGTTTATCATTCTCTGAATTCGGGGGTGCTTTTTTGGGGTTTATTTTACTAGAAATTGAGTTGCTTTAACCTTGTTGAGATTTTTCAGACAGTTCCGGAGCACGGCCTCTTCATCGTTGTTCGACATTGCGAGCGCGACTCTACCAACGTGGTTTTGTTTTGCAAACTTTTCTCCTTCAGCCCTTCCAAAATAAACAAAAAAAAAGCAAAAATAAACAGACGAGCAGGAAGGTCACGAAAAAGAAACCAAAAGCGGGGAAATACACCAAAGAAAAGTATGAACACAATAAAAAAAAAAGGAACTTTAAGGGGGGAAGAGGGGGGGGAGGCTGAGGGCGAGGGGACACGTAGGTGGTCACGTGATCTCCGTTGTCACATGATTGTGTCCCGACGACGTTCAAAAAAGGCGTCTCCTCTGTCCTACCTTGACGTCACAAACTGATGATGATAGCTGGAGAAGTGCAGCAATTTATGGTAAATGTAGAAAACTAACTGCATGAGAACCAGGTTTGAAGCTCTGAAACGAAGAAAAATCGGCCCTACTCTCTCGGCACAGATAGTTTGGTTCAGATAGATTTGTGGGACAGCCAGCATCAATACAGAGAGCAAGTCGTCTGGTTCTTGTGCAGGAGTTGTGGTGACATCAGATTGACGTCAAGCTCCGACTGGCTTTGATTGAAAGGATAGTCAGTAGTCCTCAGTGCTAGATAGATGCCTTGAGGTCTACCCACTATTTTTTCCAATCAGCCAGTAAGAGCTCAACGCTCTGACATGATCGCAGCCCCCGTGCTGGAAGCAGGCGAACATGCGCTCTAAATAAAAATAAAGTTTCCTCGCTCGGCTTGATTGACAGTTGAAGACATTGAGCACCTTCGGAAGGCCTTCAGGGACCCCAAAGAGACCCCCATTTGAGAACCACCACACTACAAATAGGACGGACAAGCTCCGGACACTCACCGAGCGATATCTTCTGCATGGTGCTCCGGTTCTGCCTCGACGAGCGCCCGCCCCTGCTCCCCTTAGACTCCCGCGACCCTGTGACGCCCTTTTCCTCTTTTGCCTTGGGCTTGTACTCTTCCTCCGACTCGGACTTCTCCTCGCCAGATTCCTCGGACTTGCCAGACTTTGCCTCCTCTTTGCTTTCCCCTCCGCTCTCGGATTCCTTGGCGGGGGGCTTGCCACGTTTCTTGACGGGCTCCTTCTCGGGCACGGAGGTCCGTCGGGTTTTCGACGCCGGCTCTGCAGACGGCACGGAAAAACAATCATACCATACTTTTTGGTGTATAACAGCCTAGCTACAAAGGCACTCTTAACTGCTGTTAAGTTTAACCGAGGTCACACTCGATTGTGGTTAAGAAAGCCTGTGAAACAAGGTTATACTCGGCATTATCTGCTAACCATACTTAATTAGAGGGGCACGGTCTAAAAATCACAATTCTTTGGAAACAGTCATGTTTTTGAAAAAAAAATAGTCTGATCAGCTGGTATAACTCCTGAAGAATGCTTTGAAAAAAATTGTATTTTTGTAGATAAAGTATTCACTCCAAAATAAATTATTTCCGACCTACCGGCAGCCGAACGCATTTCATATAAACAAACAAAATAACGGGAGAAGCTGTGTTGGCTGCGGCATGGGTCTGCAGTTTGCTCGCTTTTGTTAGTGAAAAGTGGTCAAGATAAGACGAATGACGCTTTCGAATTTCGTTTCCAGCTCGGGTTCATTTCAGAAAATGATTTGGAGCATATTTCGTTTGTTTTGGATATGCCAATAACCAGCGTAAACGTTCATCTGATGCTGCGTTTTGATCGCAGTCGCACGGGAACTTGATGATTATCGACGATAGTCCTGCCCGTTCTGAACGGACAAACAAATCCCACTTCTGATACCATGTTATGTTTCAGACTATGTTTATTTACAGCATAGTCTTGAACATAGAACTGAGATGCTGCTTCTGGTCAGTGTTCGATGGAATGTTCGAGAGCGTGCCACATCACTTCGTCCTCGGCGGGTTGCCACGAGAGCACCGAGCCAGGGGGCGCTGGCTGTTAGTCAACATACATAACAGTAGGGTATGAAAGAGACTTTGGTGCCGGTTTTGTTGGCTGACACTTGCTTCAGCCAACGAAACCTTGACCGCCAAGCGCAACCGACTTCCGTGTGTATACAACTACATTTTATGAAAAGTTTGTAAAAAAAAAGTGCAAAACAAACATATGGCCATATAAAAGTATCGTAGCTGGCGGCATAGATTCACCGAGCTCAATATTTTACGTGTGTTTACAACATTTTTGTAAGAATTTTTATAACAATAGCAGCCTTTTCACTCCCCTGCGGAGGACTCAATCGTTTTGGATCACTTCAAACAGCAGCGCTGAGGTCTACAGTCACTTGCTTTTTCTAACAACTTTGCTAAGACTTCTTCAATACCCGAGTCAAATAAAAGTGAACATGCTCAGTCGTCGGCTTCCATTTTATTCAGACACTGTCTGCCACAGGAGAAAAAGTGAAAACTGCTTAGGAGCAGCTAAAAATCTGCACTTTTTTTGCCATTTAGTAGGCACCTCGAGAAGTATTATTAATGTAAGGGTGTGACTGCCAATCCAGCTGAAGAAACACCATTTGATACAGGCGAGTTTTTATGAATTTAGGGCATGCCTGTGTCCGGATAATCATATATGATTTTCTTTACATTGAATTTGGGAAAATGGGGCTTACAGCAAAACTAAACTCTGAAGTTCAATCTGAAATCTGTCAAAAACAAACCCCAACAAACTCTGAATTTTCCACAAAAAATAAGCTCCAAAAATCACCCTCCGAATTCCACGAGGAATGAACTCCGATAACACTGAACTTTACACACAACACAATGCAGGTTATTTGGCTCTTGGAGAGTGTAGCGAACCATCTAGAAAGGACAGCTCTGCCAATATTTTTTTAGCTACCCAAGCTAAGGGGCACCACCTGAATGCTGGCGATTTCCCAGATTCCAAAATACTACTCCATTTTTCCCAAGTTCATTCTAGCTAATTAGAAAACAAACACAAAACAAAAATTTGTTTGAAGCAGAAATCAAAACTTTGGTTCCTGCACAAACAGGCGCATCAACCACAAATTGATGGCTACTTATAACTAAATTACTCCCCGATGCTCGGCGAGCTAACGCCTCTTACCGTCTCGGTTGCTCGCCGCTTTCCCCCTTGGCTGCGCTGCCGGCTTTGGCTTGCTTGCGGCCGACTTGGAGGCACTCTCCACTAGCCATCGGGGAAGCGTCCGCTTTCCTTCTGGCTGCGGCTTCGTCTTGGATTCGTCCGAAGGCGCTCCCTTCTTCTGCGGCGGCTGGGTTGCTGGCTTGCGGCATACCTCGGGGCTGGCCTCTTTGGAGCTGCCTCGCTCACCATTTTCGGCCTTGATGACGCTCTCCTTGTTGTTGCTGGAGTTGTGGTGGGCCTCGGCACTGCCGTTCTTCTTGGCCTCCTCAGCAGGAATGGCTGCGGTTGCCGGCTTCTCCGCTGGAGACGAGAGGAGGTAAAGAATTGTCACCACCAGCTTCACTGCAAGTCTTAACAAACTCTTTACAAAATTGGGAAATGACACGGAGATTATGTGCAGCGGCCATTAGTTGGTCCCGTCACTTCCGGTGTGAAGCCTGTGGTTGGTTCCAAGTTAGCGCCGAGCACTGACACAGCACTAGTGTGGAATGCTTTTCAATCCAAGTACACTCCGAATGCTGACAGTGCGCTCGTGTCCAATGCATGAACACAGTGCACGTCCCACTAATGGTGACTGCACATAATTTATGCCTCATTTCAAAAAGGCTCTGTTGAAAAAAATAATAAAAAATAAAGATAGGAAAGTGTGATGGAACGCCATGGAGAGCGTTACGAAATTTGTAAGAGATACTTCAGAGGACAATCTGTACAAGAGTGGTAAATTTAAAAAAAAAGCATGAAATTCCAAACAGCAAGTGTGGAATTTCATGCTTTTTTTCTCAATTTTGCAATCACAGGGTCGGGGGTCCAATCCCTGATAGGGATCAGACCTGATAGGGATCAGACTCATGACACCACGATTGCGAGCGCAACGTTCCATCACTGTGCGGATTGGTGGAGAGATACAAAGCTAGCTGGCTTTGCCTTTACCACAATGACATTTGCAAACTGTACAAACACGAACGCCAACGTTAGGCATCACAGCAATCTTGGTCAAATGATTTATGGGAAGGAATGAGAAATCCACGACTTGCACACCATAGCGTAAAGAAAGAACATAGTTTAGAATAAAACAACATGCTATAACCAAAGCAAAGAAAAAAAAAAATCTCCATGTCCACTACCAACCTTGAAAAATGCCGCTGAAACACATTGCATGTTTCAACTGCTTCCGCTAAAGTGCAATTCTGCATTTTTAAGGGGGGACACCACCTTAAAATTGCAATTTTTGAGAAGAAATTTTTTTCTATTTTTGTGCATTGTGGTTTTACAACTAATAGTGTATACTCCTGCAAATGTTTATTGCAATACCTGAAGTATGTACGGAGAAATAAAACATTTTCGGTCAGCCAACGGTGTAAAATCACGTGTTTTTGAAATGTGAAACTTCCGTTTCCTATTTTCAAACTGCTGTAGCTTTGCACCGGTATGCCCTAGAGTGATGATCATACTCTAGTTGGAAAGAGCATTTCTTCACAGTTTCAGTACATTAAACATCTTTGCTCGAGAGTAAACTCTATTCGGGCAAGAACACCATAGGAGTCCAGCTTTCACGTAGAAGAGGTTATGCATATGGCCAAGAATCGAAAAGCCCACCCTGATTGAAAACAAAACTGTCTAAAACCAGCATTCATTTATAGAACGCCACGTGGGTTTGTCTGCTTTGTATTTCAATGATGCTTGCCCTGCCCATACTTGCTGATATAGGTTCGTGTATTGCAAGCCATACCCAATTCCTCACTCATTTCACAATCAATGTCCAGATGCCGACAACAAAATGACACTCAAAGGAAGCGTTTTAAGCTTGGACTCACTCAGCAAAGCCATGCTGGAGATTGGGTGTAAGCAGAAGGCACCATCTATGCTCTTGGTGCCTTTTAGAGTCCACCACCACCAGTAAAAGCAAATGTAGTGGTGTGGAAACTTTAAACAGGTTTTTCTCAGTTTCACTTTTTTGCAGCAACTTTCGTTTTAGGAAATTTATCAATTCAATGTATCGCTGAATGTATTTTTTGCTGCGGATGTTCCTGAACTGAAATTTAATGAGGAAGGGGGCTAGATATTTATATTTCTATTTAAATAAAGTTCTCATTGTCAAAAAATAGTTTTGATGAGGAGAAAATGCCCCATTATGTGGAATGCTTTTCAAATTGACATTTTGCATAAAAAAAAACATGGATTTTAAGGTAAAAAAACATAGATAGCCTTCCCCCCCCCATATGTTCTAGTTAAGGCTGAAGCTTAGACATGCTCAATATTCTCCAGCAATTTTATACGATAGATTTCCTTGCCAAGTGAGGCGGCGACTTACATCAATAGCTGTGTAGCTTATCGGAAAATAGTCCTACAGAGATGAAATTTCATAGTGTGCATTTAAGCAACGAGATGAATAGGTCCTCAAAATTTCATCAATATTGAGAAACTGGTTTAAAAGTCGACACTTGAAGGTGGTGTCACCCCTTAATGCAGAATTGCACTTTACAGATGCCGATTCAGGTTTTCTACTCGTTCAGGGCACATCGTGCATCGTCGTGCGACTCGTGGTTTGAGTCGTTGCGTCGCACAAAGTCACGATGTCAGTGACGTTTTTTGACCTACATTGCATTTTGCACTTAGTATACAACGAAGTCAAAGCTACGGACACGAGCGCATTGCTTTATATACCGTAAAGTTCCGAGAAAACGCCCAGCCCCAAGAGATCATCCATCTTGTTTTTCTGGCTGAATATCTGTAATATAAAAGTTCCAAAACATTGTACACCCCCCCATTCCCGTCAGACGTCACGCGATGTCCGACAGGAATCGCATCAACCATGCAATTTGCCGTACCAGCACATCTGACAAGTGAGTTCTAGGCTGGTTCCACCGGTTTTGTCTGCGATCTGCGTGTGCGATATTGGCTCCCGTAACACGAGAGTCGTTCACACGTGTATGCTGCACCATGAAATGTGTATCTGGTGCGTCTGCAATCTGCGGTATCCATTTCCGTGACGTAAATTTAATAGCGGATTCCCGCGTTTTTGTGCGTGATCTAGAGTTTTTTGCGAGTTGGTCCCATGTGTATATTGCATTGTGAAATACGATTCTACTGCATTTGCGATCTGCGGTATATTTGTACCCGTAACATACGAGTTTGTAGCGGATTCCTGCGTTTTGGTCCGCGATCTGCAGATGCAATATCAGTTCCCGTGATGGGCAAGTTTGTAGCGGGTTCCCGCGTGTTAGCTACCAGTTTTTGTTTATAGGACTGGCTTTTGTAAACAAAAACAGCTTTTCAAGTTTCTTTCTTAGCTTTCTTTTCACGAAAAGACGACTGAATATATGAACGCGTCAAATGCCCTCGAGAAATTTTATTTGCTCGGCACCACCGTTTCGACAAAATTGGAATTGACAAAGAGACATCTAAGCTTTCTAGCAAATGCCTGCTCTTCCAGATAGACCCCGTACACAGCTTGCACTAACGTCCCATCAGCGGCCATGGTACTGACCTTGCCACCCGGTGCACGTCGACTGCAGCAGGCATTTCGCAGCACCAAATTAATTTTTTTCCACAACAAAAAGCAAGAACGATTGCCAGCACTGTCCAATAACGTCATGCATAAACAGCGTAAAGAATAAAAATCAAAACTATTTATATCATGATTTAAATTTTGATTTCAATCAGATCAGTTTTACTATGACAATTTAAATCAAACCTTTCCTGCAAATATGATTCCGAAAATTTGTTTTTATTTTTTGTTTGGCTTTCATGTGCATTTGTTTTGCATTGAAATAAATAAGAAGAAATCACCAAGCAAGAAAGATTTACATTAGACTAAACACAAGCAAAAAGTAGTGCTGTTCTGAGAAAATCGGAGCAGTCAGCTTCCTTTCTATCTTCCATTTTGCTTGTCAAGTTACCAATGTAACGTCCTGCTGCAAGCAAATCAAGACGCAGATGGAAAACTGATTAAGGCCCCATTACACAAAAATTAAACCGCAAAAAAAAGCAAATACACCTTTTAAAGCGGTAGCTTTATAGAGTCAAACAACCTCAGGAGCTGCGTAACCATGAAATGTGTAGGTCGGTCAGTCCGTTACCATTAACACAATCAAAAAAAAAAAGAAAAAAAGAAAAGCAATTAGTATTAGCGATTAAATCCCGGTCACTGGCAAGGAAGCAGAAAGCTCTGCTGACTGAGTTACTGACCCAGTATGCAGGAATGGGAGGAGCAGAAGCAGGAGGTGTGAGAAAGTGCACGGAGCAAAGAGGCGCGCAAGGGCAAGAGAGGAGCAGAAAGAGGTGATGTAGAAAAAATGAGAGTAGCAAAAGAGGAAAGTGCACTTCCCCTTTCTTGGTGACCGAAAAATTCAGCACAAAGGCTTCGTATCAGGGCGGTGCTGAAGGCAAGCACATGCAGCATCACAGAAAGACAAAGGCGTGACATAATCTGTTCCCATACAAAACCCTGCCTTGGGCACCACCTGAACTAAGAGCACCATCCACCCCAGGCACTGAAAGATTATGGGCCGTCTTGCCCTAGGCACCACCAAACTAAGTGCATCACCCGCCCTATGAAGCTGCGGCATTCAAACACATTCGGCGGAAGGACCAATCATGCAGCCAATTCTTTAATCTAACTATAAAATCAAGCTGCTGCTGCTTTTTGTTCTAGTATGCAGGGTTTACATCGATAAAATGCTGTTAAAGGGGCACTGACACATCAAAATCATATTTTTTTTTATTATCCGAAACGGTTGAAAACGATGTCGGGACATTACCCTCAAAATTTGAAATTTGGGAATTCAGTATTTCTGAAGTAAAAAAACAATTTCCAAATGCCGAATTCGAAGTTCCCGCGCGATCGGCGCCGGTGCCTTGACGTCAAAAATTGCGGAGACCTGAGAGTCCACTTTCCTGTCACCACTCCCTGCTGTTGCCATGGCGACCCAAAGCGAGGAGGATAGGAGCGAGCGCCGGCTAGCGCCGGCGTTGCGGCGGACCGGTTTTGAGCGGTGTCGCCTGTTTTCCGTTGGAGGATACAAATCCAGGAGACGGCACCACAACGAACTCCCGATTTTTGGTATTTCAAAAAGAAGGGCCGTAGTGCGTTCGCAATTGCGTTAAAAAACATGTTTTAGGATTGCCGTCATTAAATGTTATAGAGATGTCGCCTACAAAGCTTCTAAATTTCCTGATTTTTGACGTCACCGATCAAAAGAAGCGAGGAGGCGAGAGGCGGGAAAATCAAACGCCAAAAATAAAAAGGCGCGCGTGCGCGCGGGAAAATTTTTTTTCGCGATGCGGTTTTTTTTGCGTGTCTATGGCTGCAACTTGCATCGTTTTAGACAATAAAAATAAATACGACCTTTGGGGTGTCAGTGCCCCTTTAATCAAAACATACTTTTAATTCACACAAATTCTTTCTTCCGATCAGAGAGATCTATCGAACGATTTGCCATGTTTAAAAATACATCTAGTGATAAAAAAATCTATTTTCTAGCTACAGTGATTTAAATCAAATAAATCCGATATCTCATGATAAAAATACAAAAAAACATGATATTTTTCTACTTTGAGCACAAGTCATGCACATTCAGAGTCAACTTCTCTGTGCCAGATTGCCAAGGCTAGCATAGCCACCACAGAGCCCCTTGTGTTAGCTCGTGGCTTTGATTGCCGCCTCCACTGCACTATAAGTAGGATTCAGTGCTTTCAGAGTTTATTTTTGCCCTACGTTCATAGTTTTCAGGAGTCTACTTTTGCTAGTTTTTCATTTTCCAAAAGTTTGGGAGATTACATCTGCTGTGTTCCCAATCGTTCAATAGTTAAAACAAAAATATTTGGACATAGAAGTGTACCAAGTTTATAAAAATGCACTTGTTTCAAATAATATTTCAGTTGGATTCAATGTTGGCCCCCTCCCATTGGTATTACTGTACCACGATAAAACTTGTGTCGTTTCAACTGACGTTGGTAGTACTTTAGAATTGGTCAATTCCTGGACGTAGTCACTAGGAAGCTTGTTTCCTTCCCATCCTCTTCCACCACTGTGCCCACTGCGCCTGCTGCGCAAATTGAAGTGATTTCAGCTGTCCAACAAAGTGTAAGAGTTCACAGCTTTGAATCATAAAACAGAACCCCTTCTCCCTCTAAGAAGCACAGGTAGTTGGGTACAACTGAAAACTGGAACAGAGGCTTTTTTCCTGGCCCAAAAGTACAATAGCCCATTGCCCTCAATAAAACATCCGGGGAGATAAACAGCATACACACTTTTGTCAGCGGTCAGAGATTTGAAAGAAAACTGTAGTGGCCTCTACTCAGGATCACTGAATGGCCCTGCACTAAACATATTGTGTTTAGTACATGTGTACTAAACACACATACCTAGAAGTTTGGAGTTTTACAGATAAATATGAATTGACAAAAAATTGACCGGCACGTTTTCACTGAGTTTTTCGGATTTATCCAAAAACATGGAGCCCTATCCATGAGACATCCAAGTGAGAGTCAAGACGAAGCCAGATGCTCTCAAAGCATGGTGGGGCTGCAGCACTGTTCAAGCTATGCCAGCCTTGACGCCGTAACATGAAATAGTTGATGTCGAGCATAGCTCCCCAACATTTCGAAGCAGACTCAATGTGGGGGCGCATTACCTAGGCTGTCTTTTTCTTCAGACTCCCCCGCTGGCTTCGTGACTTCGTCCGCAACTTGTGATCTGTAAATAGTAAGGCAGACAAAAAGAAAATAATCAATTGAATAACCCCTACCTGAAACAAAGGCTTTTAATTTAGAACACACATCGAAAAACACACTCGGTTAATCTGTGGCCCTTTGCCAAACGAAGTAAACACAATTCAGAAATGGAAAAAAAAAAAAAAAATTCAAAACAGAAAAAAAAAAGTGTTCATGAGAGCCAAATAAGAGTACTACCATTTTTAACATACATATACATAGTAGTACTAGCAGTTTCAACATAGATACACATAGACAGTAAAACCTCGATAATTCAATCTCGGCTTATTTGGAATCCAGGATAATTCGCAAAATTTCCACGGTCGTGAATTCTCATGAAAATATGACCGGATAATTAACCGTGCCTACACGGTTAATTCGTTTATTTGGTCTCCTAGGTCCAATTTTTAGTTGGTAGGTGGTGCAAGATAGCATCCAGATTCAGCAGCAAGAACAAACATGGCGCGCGTCTTCGCTGATCCATTTCCCGATTGCTGGTCCATCCGCTTAGTAAGTCACTTTGCTTTTTTGGGCTTGGGCAGGCGTTGGGTAGGCTTGGTCAATCTCGCCTCACGTGGAGTTGATGATCGGTGCCAGTAATCAGTATTCTTGTCGCTGCGCCACTGTAGTTCGGGTTGTTACAAGGTGCACAGACTGAAGGTACCCAAGTATAAATCTTTAACCTTGAAACAGAAGGTTTACCCTCATCGAAGAAGCAAAACAAACCGACGTGCTCAAAAACTAAGCTTGCGGAGAAGCACCAGCTGCCCATCTCCACACTTTGCACCGTTCTCAAAAACCAGGCAAGGATCGTCAAGGAGTACAGCAAAATGCATTCTGCAAAGCATTTGCGAATTCGATTCCCCACATACCTGGACGTCGCCCCCACATACCTGGACGTCGAAGCCGCCCTGATAACCTGGCTCCAGAATTCCACCGCAGAACACCTTCCTGTCGACGGCACGATTTTACGAGAGAAGGCCAACAATTTAGCTTTGAAATCTGGACACGAGAAATTCAGGTGCAGCAACGGATGGTTTTCCCGCTTCAAGGAACGGAACAACTTGACATTCCTTACGTTGTGCGGAGACAGCAGCAGTGCGGACAAGACTGTTGTCCAAAATTAGATAAAGCACACTCTGGCTCCACTTCTTAGCACGTAAAGTACGGGTGATGTCTGCAATCTGGACGAAGCAGCCCTTTTTTACAAGATGCTCCCTATAAAAACATTTGCAGCGAAAGACGCCAATGCCAAAGGACAGAAACAGCCAGAAGACAGGATCAAAGTCTTGTTCGGTGCAAATATGATGGGCGAACACAAGCTGCTCCTCCTGGTCCTAGAAAAAGCAGAGAAACCACAATGCTTCAAGAATGCTGGGCTTCCACCAGCCAATCAACTAGTCTACCGACACAACGAAAAAGCCTGGGTCACAGCAGCCATCTTCGAAGAGTATGTGCGACTCCATGATTGCAAGCTTGCAGTAGCAGGACGAGAAGTTGTTTTTGTGGTTGGATGTCACCATGGCCCGGGCCATGGTGACATTCAGTACCTCAAAGCGATCAAGCTGGTCTTACTCCCACCGCACACGACGTCCATCTTGCAGCCAATGAACCAAAGAGTTATTCTTCACACGCGGAAGATCTATCGCCATCACCTTCTGAAGCAGATGTTGCTCTGCTACGAGAATGGCAAGGGCTATTCCATCTATCTTCTCGGGGCTATGTGCCTGATAGTGTATGCATGGAAACAGGTGAAGGTGGAAGTCATGAAGAGATGGTTCGAACACGCTGGAGTTTTGAAGGCTGTGGAGCAGGAGGATACCGTGGATACTGCCAGTGCTAGTGCCAGCATTGTCCCTTAGATTGACGATGAGGGAGAAGAGCTTTGCTCCCGCGTCAAGGACAGTGACAGTGAGTTGGTTGGCATGAGGTTCACAAAACTACTAAACGGACATTGACAGCGAAATCACTAACAGTGTGACGGCAGAGATTGATGGCAATGATGAGCTGCCTCAAGCCCCCGCTCTAGGGTAAGTTATACAATCGCTGAATGTCGTCCGCAGCTTTGTGGAATGTAACGGCGGTGATTCTGAGATGTTGCACCCAGTTAGCCTTCTTGAAAACATGATGGTTGGCGCCGCTAATTACAGAATGCAGCAGTCCCATATCGACGCCAACTTTGGGTGATGTTCTCTCGTTTCGACTGCTCGTTTTGAATAAAATGGTTCCGTCAAGATTCAAAGCTTCGTGCACACTTTTCTGTTGTATTCTTTTGTTTCTTGATAATTTTCAAATCCGCTCAATTCATATTTTTTGAAATATGACAGACTTTGAATTAACGAGGTTCTACTGTGCTAGCATTATATTCAGGTGGTGTCCATGGCCTTTGGATTGCACCGTCTAGTTACATGGTGTGAGGTTTTCATAAGCTCTCTAGTTAAAAATACTAGAGTAGACTTCCATTAATTAAAACTCAGAAATTCTAAACATATGCTGATTAAACAAAAAATCCTAATGATTAAAAAGCGCGACAGGACAATGGACACAGAAGGAGACACAGACACAGCACTACTTACAACTGAATCACTGAACGCTGTGTCTGTGTCTCCTTCTGTGTCTGTTGTCCTGTCGCGCTTTTTAATCATTATGAATCACCAACTCGCCCAACTTTCTACCCTCGTCAGAAAATCCTAAATATCTCGTTGGCTGGCTATTACTTCAGAGCTTAATCACCATTACACAACCTAATTCAAATACAAAATGTGGCTTTCGTGCTTTGTGTTAAAGAGTAAGCGGATTATCTAAGCTAAAACAGTTGCTCCTTAGGCTGAACTGGTCAAATCACATTAAGGCCGATACAAACGAACAATGATTAGTAAGAATGCTGTACTTTAGAAATGTAACCACGGGACCTCATTTTGAATCCTGCTGTGCTCAGCAAGAAGAAAACAACTAGAAGGCATTTCCAGCTCCGTGACGGGACCAAGGCATCTAAATAAATGCAGGCTATATGCTTTCACACTTGGGCTGGTGTTTCGCTGCACAAGTCACCTTTTTAATTTACGAACCCAACTTAAGGGGATAATTCATACTTGCAATAAACAGAACAGAACTAACCGGTCCCCTCTGAAGGGGTGTCAATCATTCTTTCCTCTCCCAATTCCACAGTGACAGACAGCTGAACAAACACAGTGCAAGTCTTATCACGCTGGTAGACTTGTTTGCAACTTGCTTTGCGATTCATTCTTTGGCGTATCAGATACAATAGTAGAGAGCTTACACAACTGCACAAACAACAAAAGGGAGACAGCAAGCAATCCCAGAGGGCATCAGGGGGAATTAAGCCACATTCTGAGATAGTCCCTTTATGGTCATAACTCAATCTATGGGTTCATAATATCCTAAAAAAAAAAACTAAACATTGCATTCATGCATTACCGATTTCTCCACTAAATTTGGTATCAAAGATCAATTACCTTGGAATTATCACAGACACCAGAAGGCACTGTTCGATAATGTGAAGCCCTTCTTCTTAGAGTAACTGTACAGGATCTGCTTGCAGAGCCAGAGTATTACATTATTTTTTCTTTCACTGCCAACTTCGAAATATTCGCGACTCCAACTAACTATAGGTGGCGCCACTCACTTTCCAAGATGGCGGGTTTAGTGAGGGTCAGAGATGCGTGCCGCTGTTGAGCCTATCTAGTGTGCTGGCTTCACTGAGCGACATAAATTATTTCCGGTAATACGAGGAAGCTAATGTTTTATGAGCGCAGGTCACCTCTTTAACCTGAAAACAAGAACGGTATTTAGCGTATTAATTATGGAAGGATGCGCGTTTTAATTTTGCAGCGAAACCGAAACTTACCTCTATTTTGGATTTAATTTCTCGACAGAGGCCTTAATTTCGGATTCTTTCATGACTCAAGATGTGTCTCATATCGTAATTATTTCCTTAGAAAAGTTGCTCGCGGAAACTTTATTTTGTGACATACTGTTCGATCCAGGCTCATATTCATAGTAGTTGAAAAAATCAGTGCTGATATCTGTGCGTTTGCGCTGCCTTTTTCTTGCTCAGATAAAGGTCATGGGAAATAATGACAATTATCCCAGCACAAGAAGAAGTGAATAGTTTCAATGTTTACAATATGTCCACGAAACGCGTAAACTAATAAAAGCTGCTCTCACTGCAACAACCCAAGACAGAATCCCTGTCAGACAGCTGAAGTGTGTGTGTGTGTTTTATAGCACCGCGTGACGCGTAGGACTTCATATTACATCCAGCGTTTAACTGTTTGTCTATCTCGATAACTATGTCAGAGATTTTCATATGCTAAAAAGAAAACAAGATTAATAATAGTCTTTCCTTTCTGGAAAGACTATTATGGTTAAAAAGAGTATTCTCGTGATCGTGGCGTTAATTAGAGGCATACAATGCTGCGATTTGAATTAATATTAATAATATTAAAATTCACATATTTGAATAAGTAATTCTTCAAGCTCTAATATAATTTGTTGCTTATGATCTAATTTTAAACGCGCGAAGAAATACAACAATGAAAACTGTGCTAATTATCATCACTGGTTCTAATTGCTGCATTTTAATTAAAAATAAAATAAAAATAGTCTAAAATCAATGAGAACATTCTAGCTAACGTGAGAAATTCATGTAAAATTACATTAATTGTGGTGCTATCAAAGTCGCGACTTTTGACAATCGGCAAAACGTCCAAAGTCGCCGCCAATATACTCCCAGACCAAATGCCCAAAAGCTAAAAAAAAAAAAAAAAAACCTTTTTGTTTAATTACTAGTTTTTTTATAACATTTATTTACTTTTGTATTTGCTCGCCGTCGTTTTGCCAATCTCAGCCTTCACAGTTCGAAGGAACGCCTACCTGCTTCAACGTCTGCTCACTGCAGCACGTTTCGTTGGCGTTGGAAGCCGGTGAAACAGTAGTGAGTTTTAATATTGCGTATACGAGCGAACTCAAGCCCTGTGTGTTTGCGTTAGCTTTGCGCGTTCCACACTGCGCGTGCGCGGAGCCCGAAATCGCGGTCTTGGATGGCGCATGGCGATGAGGTGCACGCACAACGTGGGGCACGCAACTCTAACGCAAACGCACACCGCTAGCGTTTGCTTCTATGCGCAATACTAAAACTCTCCAGTAAGGTACAGTCCCATACCGGCTGCAGCACTACGTTGGGACAGTGAAGAGTGTTGTTTGCATTCGGAAGCGACATTTCGCGAGCCATGATCACGAGCAGTTCCGCTATGCCCGCTGAGTAGGAGAATTGGGGGACCCTCGCTAGAGCGCTTCCCGTGTCCGCCGCGGGAGGGCGAGCGTCGAGCTGGAGACGCGAATACATCCCACACTAAAATCAAATGAACTGGAATGTTCCTCAACCATTGAACACGATGTGTAGCCACTGGGTACAGCATAAGCGCGCTGTTTTACAATGCTAGCGATGTTTTAAAACATGTTTTCAAAGTCTGGGAAGCAGACAACACTGAGGACGACCACGTCGCTCACGGAGCGATACGCGACCGGCATGTCCAAGCACCTCGAACCAAACGACAACGCGCAGCTACGGCTCGCAGAGGGGAGAGTTTTCTTCGGCCACTACGCTCCACCGAGGGCATAGAGAAAAACGGGACGTGAATGACGGGGCGACGCGCGCGCGTCGTGTAGCCATATTATGTTTTCTCTGCTCCACAAGCCGCCTGACAGCCACGCCATCCACTCCTCCAGGGCTCCTGCAGAAGCGACAGAAGCTTCCCGTAGTGCGCCTTGGATACATTGTAACTGCCTAGAGTGTATCGTTGTGATACTTTGCTCCACAAAGGCGCCCTTCTTCGATACCGATTTTAATATAGAAATCGGTCACGCATGAATGTAATGTTTGGATTTTTATGATGTGTAGAGCCCATAGATTGAGTTATGACCATAAATGGACTATAGCAGAAAGTTTTTTAGTGCCCCTTTAGGAACATTAACAAAATGCTCGTAACTCGCACCGCCCCGCGTTCCTTCAACTGTCGGCGACTATGGCTGGTACAAGGGAATATGCAAGTGCATACGATGGTGATGTCGTCGACGGGCTGATCACTTCGACAATGTACTTGTAGCTGGTGGGCAGCAGCGCGATGGAGTCACCCGATGCCAGTACATGCTGCTTGTCCTTTTTCATCACCCTCGAAGGACCTTTGTTCTGAGCTTGGTAGAAGCACGGGTTCACGTGGGTCTGCAACGGAGAGGCGGAGCCAAAGATTACGTCCTTGTTACAAGGATATGTGTGAATTTATTAAATGCTTAAGCTTAGTTTTTTTTTAGTGGATGGTGATCTTTAGACCAGACATCATTTTTATTGAACATGGTCCTGGACTAAAAGATGCACCATATTTGCATGTACTTTGTGGGAATGATCCCAACGAGATAACTACGGCCGCTGGTATCGGTAGGGTCGTGAACCGTTGATACAGACACCTCTCTCTCTCTCTCTCTCTCTCCCCCCCCCCCCCCAAAAAAAAAAAAAAAATTGTCCATAATGTTCAGGGGTTTATAATAATGAGAAAAAATATGCATGTTTACCAGTTCATCCCTGAAAACGGTCTACATAGCGGGGTATCCACACCATTAGGGTGCATATTAACAAGACACAAATGTAGTCCAGAACAATGCTCGCATTTCTAGTGGATGATTTGTTTCCTGCATTCCGACACCCCCAAGTACAAGTGTTCGCCCGCTTCCCTTAATTTATGCGAAGGTCTTCTTGAATGAAACTGAGGGACTCAAATGTGATCAGAAGCGAAGATGAAAGAGTAACTTGCTATGCTTGCACCGAAATATATCTAGTCCCATCAGCATTTCGCTTTGCTCTTGAAACTCTCTCAGACACAGCATGTTAAAGTGATACTGCAACCAAATTCTAGCGCCTACTTTATTGTCGAAATGTCAACCATATCCTGGCCACACCACGGAGATACTGTATAAAACCCTTTATTTTCGAGGCTCCTATTTTTCACGAATTGGTCACAGAGGACATAATCGCGTCCACTAAATTTCGCGAATACGAGACGCCTGCACTGAAACTCTTAAGGACTGAAAATAAGTTTGCGATAATTAAGGGTTTGCGAACATTAAGGGTTTTACAGTACCAATTTTTTGCTCGATTTGAGAGTGCTGGATAAACTGATGTCAATCAACCGATCAATCAATTTAAATTTATTTAAAATAAACACAGAGCACACTGCAGAAAAGCATCCAATTAGTCCAGTGGGAGCTGGACCAATTGACGTCTGTGACATCAATAAGTTCAGCTCCCAGGATGCATCGTGCTCTTCGACGGCTCATTTCTGAGCGCTCGCTGGAATTGGTTCTTTGGAACAAAAAATATAGCCATCCGCTCAAAATGCAAGCATGCGCTTGCCATTAGTAGATTGAGTTGATCATGTTTAACTTATTTTTTAATGTGAGGGGTATATTTAAGTTTTGATTCAGTATCCCTTTAATATCATTGAAACAAACACTGTCGTTTGTTCACGCAGGGTTAAATAAGAGAGTATGGATGACACAAAGGGCGGAATGTCATTCTCTCGTGTCACCACTTTTGCAAAGCTTTAAATAAAACTTTTGCTTAATTACCCAAGCACCAAGAAGCATGTGGTGAGTGTGTTCGCATGCACTATGCATACCGACATCTGCAGCAGTAACTGTTCCCAAGCAAAAACATACAACAAATGTTGCTCTGCAAACTTGTTCCAATCCCTACTTTATTTTTTTACTTTGAATCTTTGATACAGATAAGGCAAGCACATGCAGTGCATGTACCCACGTTCCAAGGATTGTCCTTGGTGCCCGGGTAATGCGGAGAAAAAGAGAGCTATTGGAATGTGGATTTTCAGCTGAAAACTGCAACACTGTTGGAGCAGCAATTGTTTCTCAGTGCGGAGCAAAGTTAACAGCTGTGATAGACTTTGTACGTTCGACACAAAAATGAAAACAAACAAGGTAACTACAGTTAACAGACTGTGCAACAACTTCAGACTTGCATTGCCAGCAATGACTCAAACCGTAACCAAAACCGAAAACCGTTTAGAGCAAACTTTTGAGTAACCGTAACCGGAACAATACCAATATTTTTCATTTGGCACGAACCATAACCAGAAACTAAAAAGTAACTGGTAACCGATATATTAAATCGGTTCAACAAAATTTTCCCAAATAAAAAATTGAAAACTTGGGCGGGATTTTCAACTGGCACGGTCATTTGTAGACATATGTAGTGTTGGCGAGTGGTGCTTGCCATTATAAGTTCAATTAAAAGGTATTAAATTTTAACTGCCAGAATAACTGGCAATTCAACTTCAGTTGACGTGCAGTTGACACAACAGGCCCTACTGTGTCAAAAGTGCTCCACGCCTGTTCCATTTAAAACCTCTTTCAGATTATGAATTGAACTTCTGTTATAACCCTGAGATGTCAGGCCAGCTTCATCACTGCCAATTCTGGATTTGAAGTACGAAGGATCGAGATGAATTAACCTTCATGCAGGTCTGGTGGAGCATCAAATCTGGCATTCCCCCCCCCCCCCCCCCCCCCCCCCCAATCTCACCCTAACAAAACATAACAACCTTGGAATAAATACAAGAGCAACCAAAATGATCAACTAAGTTTTAGAAAATTTTGTAATTTCATGTACAGACATTGACTAAGCTCTTGTATTTATTCTAGAAAGAATGTCACGTGCATACTATTGACGTGAGGTTCTTCGCAAATGTAACTAAAGAAAAGGTATAATACTTGAAGCAGTTGGTGCAAGTGTGACTAGCATAACTTGAAAGGAGAGGAGCAGTAAGGTACCAAGATGCAACAAACAGGTAGAGGAAACAAACAGTGCTTGGTCAATTTTATATCATGTGGAGCCTGTGTTTCCGTTAAGACATGGCAAATAATATGGAGTGCAAGAGCCTTGAAGTTAAAAATATATGAGTGTTGACCCTACAAAACACATGCCATGCATGAATCACGGCTGGACCATACCAATGGTGATCGGATGGTGCTTGTTTTTTACCGTGATACATAGCTTCAAGCTGAGTGAATATCTCTTTTAAGTGCCAAATTGGCAATAAAGTTTTTATTCCAGAAAAAAAAAAAACCAATTTACTAGAATTGAGCATCAACAATCCAGCCACAGCTGAAGAACTGTGGTAAGGAAGCCGAAAAGTCAGCTTTATAGCGAATTCTACAGAAGAGGTAAATTTCACGGCTCATTATGGCACAAACGTGCTGGCTACTGTGTACGTCCAATAGACTGTTTTCACGTGACAGCTGAAATATGACATACTTGGGTTGAGCAACAAGCAATAAAGTAAATAGTTTAAGAATAACTACAATAAAAAAAATATGGCCAAGAAAAATGTATAACAATTCCCACAAACCCCCTGAATTCTAACGCCTTCCAATTGGAAAATAAAGCGATTTGATTATTCGCTCCAACTAAGTCACGCCAAAATTCACCATGGTGGCCGTCACTAAAAAAAACAGTCTACGGCAGCATAAATCATACAGATGCGTCGAAACTATCCAGGAGATGGGGACGGGGGTTTAGGGGCCCATATTGTTTCCATTCAATTTCTGTTTTGCAAACATTGTGCATATGGTATTCCACTCACAATAAACATAGTTTACTAAATCTACAGTCTGATGTAACAAAAGAACAATCTTGAATTCCTGAGAAATGGCATCACGATAACACCCGGTACAAACATACCAGCAAAACAAAGTTTGGCCTCATACCCAATGTGCCCCAGTGCATTGAGTGAAGCATTACACAGCAGGCTACATGTAGTTGTAGTAACTTTGCTGGTTTGAGACGATTTGTGTATTCCCCGAGCGTGGGAGCACTCGGTTCTTAACAACGCCTGCCAAGCCCTCTCAAATGACTTCAATGTCACAGCAGACTAACAGGCACTTCATTGATCATTGTGTGTATGTACCACTGAAAGGTCTTAGATGTTTCTGGGACTGAGCACGTGTGTGTGCATGCATGTATGACACCCCTAAATATTGGGCATGCTTACGTTTTTAGGATACAGATAACACGTACAAGTGTGAGATGCCTTGAATGTTGCATGGGGCTTACAAGTGTTATGTGTAAGCATGTATGACTCCCGAATATTAGGTGTGCTTAGATGTTTGGCAAACAGATAACACATACCCACCTAAAGTGCCTCCAATGCTGTAATGGAGTTACATGAGTTTCACTGCTTGTAAACAGTGTGCATGCACCAATGGAAGGTTTTAGGCGTTTCCGGGATCGCACAGACGTGTTCAGGCATATAAGAGTCGCTAAATAGTGAGTATGTTTACATGTTCAGGAAACAGATAACACATACTGGCATGAGGAGGACTTCAATGCTGTGGTGAGCTTATACGTTTTGTTGCTCATTATCTACCGTGTGCACTAACAAACAATCTCAGACATTTCTGGGACCATGCACATGTGTGTATGCATGTATCACACAACAAAATATTGGGTGTTTACATGTTTGGGAAAAAGGCGGCCCATACCGGCATGACATCGTGTCAGTGTTGTAGTGGGCTTACATGTGTTCTGATGCTCATTGTTTGTGTACAAATAGAAGGTCTTGGACGTTTGTGGGCACAAACACACATGCATGTGTGTGTGTGCATGTATGGGCCCCTAAACACTGTGTGTGTTTACATGCTTGGGAAACAGCACATACCGGCGTGAGGATGACTTCGCCGTCTGCAGTGACTTCCAAGATAGCATGGTTTCTGGAAACTTTCTTGTCGCTGCACTGGAAATAGAAGGGCGAAGGGCAAACAAACTGTTAGTCCCTTTGATAGGGAGGTCGTTTCAACGTGACTCATTATCTATATCTCCGCCTTCTTCGAACGAGGGGTTCACAAAAAACGATGGAACGCCAAGTGCGCGTGCATTCCAGAATCCGGTAATGCTTAAACTCGACGACACGACGCCGACGTGATAAGCTCAACACGGAGTGGATCGATTAAACCGTTAACAGCCATTGGGAGAAAACGCAAACGTAGTTCCAGGCACTGAAAAAAACTACGCACTGGCTCAGGAATGCCGCGGAAGTTGCGGCTTATCACGGCCCGATATAGGCCAACGAATTGAGCTGGCGAAATGCCCGAATTTACCACGAAATCGTGCGCACGGAACCGACGCGTCCCCATAAATTCTGATGCGTTAATCAAGAACCAATATTTCAAGGCGGGGAAGGGAGGGTCAGTCACCCGTACTGTTGCCGTGAAGAAAGAAAGAAAAAAAATTAAATAGAAGAGGGACGCCGTCCTAATGGTTTTTGGCGTTCCATCGTCTCGGTAGAGGTCCGAGTTCGACCTAGTTCAAGCAAAAGCATGTGCACAGTGTTAGAACGGGAACCCGGGAGAGTCTACGTATCGGAAGATGTTCTCGAGAAACGCGAACAAAAAGCAGAGAAGTAATCATTGCGATCCTTACTTCGAGAAGCGGTCCCCGGCCAATGATGGTTTTGCCGATTTTGAGTTCCACGGGCTTCTGAGGCCCCTCGACCGGTTTCAGAACGACCTTCTTCATTGTTCTGTTTTAGGGTAGGTGCATCACGCAGCTTCAGAGCAAACCTTGGACGCGAGAAAAACGCTTCATGGCAAATGTTGAGTCGCGACGGCCGCTACACCACAGAAACTCAACATCCATCATCTGCCGCCATCTTGTGTGTCACTCCGCGTTAACGGACTGAAAATAGTTTCGTCATAAAACCGATCAAATGTTACTTCTGGAGCGAATAGAAGCTTAAAAAAAATATGCTTAGCATCAAACGAAAATAAAATTTGATCTCGACTAGAAATATGTTATGGTGCCGAAGGTAAATAATAAAGTTAAATAAAGTTGTGTTCGATCGCTCGCTCAGGAGAAGCGTCACTTCTTGCGCGGCACCTGCTAGTTGGGTCTCCTAAGGACAGATGGCAGCACACGCCAGCATTTTCTTAGTTTATTTTTAGTCAGCTTCGTGTCTGCTTCGCCAGATTACGCTAGTTGTGTTCCCATAACTTTTCTTTTTGCAACTTTCGGAATTCTTATTTTTGCTGTTTATGTTTCTAATACTAACGCAAAACGATTTGATACGGGGCTTTCACGTTCACGCCTTAGAGTGCTGACATTTGACTAATTGGACATTTTATGTCGCGACGCTCCTTTTTTCTACCTTCGATATTGAGTTTTTCAAAATCGAATAATCATATACTGTTTGTCCGCATATAAACAATGTAATTCAATATCTTTTGTTGGCGTGCGTGATGAAGTAACATAATTAATTCCCCTAGGGTGGTCATTCTAATTATATTACTTAAGAGGCCGATTTCCCCGCTCAGCTTTCTACGCCACTGCTGCCGCGATGCATGGAGGTTGAGGTAACTTTACACTTTCTGTACGCGATACGAGGTGCGTGCTGAGCAAGGAGATTAGAAGGGTAGGAGGAGGCATGACGTCAGCCGTGTAGCCTCCACAAGCCAAGCTCCCTTGACGCCTCGCCCCCTTTCTCATTTTCCTCCTTACTCTCCTCACTTATCAGCCCAACATAACCACATCACGTGACTGTAGCTAGCCTTCGTCTAGCCTTGGATCTGAAAAAAACCTACCGGACGGAGCGGGCGCAAGCCTGCAAGGAATCCTACTACAATCAACCGTCCATCGCGCACAACCGTCCATCGCGACTCGGAGCACAGCGGAAATCTGGAGGTCACGTTGGGCATAACATCGTTTAAACTTTTTATGACTAGGCTTCACACATATTGCAACGTGCCCCCTCCTATGCTCTTTTTCATACTTACTGTGCAACGCTGTCACAGCTACTGGCGCGAGCGCGCGGCTTCATCTATGGTTTTGTTTGCGCAAGAACGCGTGCAAATGATTAACGAGATTAAGCACCGCGGTCGCGCCAATACTTTTGACAGCGTTGCACGCTAAGTATGAAACACCTTTTCCGCGTAGTCGTCGCCATCTTGCGTGTTGCAGCGACAGCCGCGCCGTCTGGCGTCTGGCATACGGTTGTTGTGCGCCCATTTTGGTATGCGGAGAGCAGCGTTGTTCCTAGCTCCCGCGTTGTCCCCATTGACCCCGTGTATCGTATCTTCATTGTTTTCCCTTTAGTGAGTTCTTAATTTGTTTGTTATTGAAAGTGTGAATTATTCTTGTGTTCTGGCGTGTTTATTCGCCTTCATGGCGCCCGTTGTTGTGCCAACAGCTGCAAAATTGCAGGCATGTTCACTTTTCCTGAGGACGTTTACCAGTGTTTACTCTTCGCGTGTTGTTGTTTGTGAAGAATGACAGCCTTCTGGCAAATGTCTAACGGAGGGTTTCTATGTGCGAGCGAGGGCGCATAGAAACCCTCCGTTTGCACCACCAAGCTGCAAAATTCGTTCTACATTTGACTTATCGAGGCCTATTACTGCACTTGTAGATGTCCGTTTCTATACTGCCTATTTGCTTTTTTTATGTGCTGATATTGCATAGCTTCCCCACTGATATCAGCGGGGAAGCGATGCAAAATGTATACGTTACAGCCGCATTCGTTTTGCGACTTCTTGTGTTCGGTGCACACTTTGTCGCGCGCTATCTTCCGTTTTCGGAAATTGCTGCTGCAGCCAACGACTGCGCAGTGGCAGCCCGATGACCAAATATGCGCGGACATGATACATCGACGTATTAACCCACCTTATTACAAATGACTTCGCTGTCAAGGGCTTCAAAACCCATTTAACGCGCACCACTTCAGCATCTTGCCAGCCGGCTAGGCCTGCTCCCGCATACCGGAAGTGTTAGAACCGGCAGAACTATTTCCGCTGTGCTCCGAGTCGCCGAGTCGAGGCTACGCACGTTACGCGCTGGGTCGAGGTTAGGCGGAAAAGGTGTATAGTCCTTGGTGCTGAGGCAGCTGAGGCCCCTCCCGCATGTTTTTCAATGAGCGGAACGCGAACTCTCCAGCGCCTCATAATTTGATAATTTGATAAGCCTTAAACGAAAAACATGTTCTTAAACTAAAGCTCAATTTTTTTTTTTATTTTTTTTTTTTATGACAAGATGTGTTTAAAGTACCAATGGTGCCCGTGCAACAACCTCGCTGGAGCTCTGCGCGTGCAAGCACAGGGGGCAACTCATACCATGAAGAGCGTTTGCAATTTGATGGCGGCGTTAGAGATGGGGGATTTTTTTTTTGCGTTTAAAAAGTGTTTTTTCTATCGGAACAAAAATAGTGTCTAAAAAGAAAAGAAGTTTCTTCGCGGAAAATATTCAATCGTCTCCAGGGTTGTTTATAACAGGATTTACGATGAAAAACCGCCCGTAGCCCCATAGACCCACAGCAAAATTTTGCATTTTAGTTGTGCCCATAAACACGTAACCTGTGCGAGCAGTTGAACACACTCTTAGTTGAGGCTGTCTAGCACTGTCGTTTGCCTCCTGTGGGGAGTCAGGGGAGCGTCGGCGGCGCGGTTTTTGTTTACTATAGTAAATTACGGGTCAAGAAGGTTGCGGCAAATGCCCCTCAAAAGGATTCATATATCCCTCCGCCACCTCCGCATCCAATAGCGTCCCATCGCTTCCGTGACGTCGCGGCCAACGTGGGGGGAGCGTCTTGCCTTCCTGTAAATACTTGATTTATCTTTCGACTTTGACTTAGCGTTGTAGGAGCCACGAGAGGGAGATTAGGGTTTTCCCCCTTCGATGGAAACAAATACGACTTTTGGGGGTCAGGTTCCCTCTCCGATGGATACAAAGGGTATATTCAGGGGCTCGGTTACCGGTCCGATGAATACAAAGGTCGCTTTCTTAAAGGGATACTACAACGAAATTTCAGCGCTTAGTTTTTGGTCTATATGTGTTCAAAGGAGTAGTATCACATCGAACACACCAATATCTTGTTAAAAAAGTAACGAAAAGGAATTTTAAAACGAATTAAACGTTTAGCAAAGGGCACCTGGTGCATGTCGCTAACGCCTCGTTTGTAATGCCCGTCTAGGAACCTTGAGAGGTAGTGACGGTAACTGTCTCGCCTCCGGCCACGACGAGAGAAGAGGAGAAGGAGTTACTCCCATCTTCCCGAGAATCCCTTCTGTGTGTCCCAGAAGTCACTATTGTCCATCAGCAAGATTATAGAAGATTAACCGGTCACTCAAAATTCGTACATAAGCAGTCGCTTCGGTGGCTGGAACGACTAGGCCATCCTCTCGACGTCAGTCTCGCCATAGTTTTGCTAGTCCCGAAACGAAGGACGTCACGATTGCGTAAGATGTCACGTGGCTGTTGTCCGAGCGGTTGCCAGAGCGGGTTGTTTATAATGAAAAATACAGCCACCAGGCTCAAAATACAAACGTGCGATTGTCATTTACGAATATTGTGGATCATATTCAACCTAGTTTTGAACACGACTGGTATATTTAAAAATTCGTTGAAGTATCCCTTTAAAAAGTGGGGGACGGAGACAAGTTGGAATCACTCTGAAGCCAATATCTATCCATTGAAGCGGAACAAGGGGCGTTTCCAGTGAACTACTCTTTCGACTGCGGAGGGATTTTGAAACGGGTGCATCACACTTATAAAAGGAGCTCCTCCTACCTTCTCGACTTGTAACCGACTATAGACGCTTATGACGATCAATTTAGTAGAACAAAAATCTCTATTTCTGTGCCCCCCCCCCCCCCCCCCCCCGCCCCTTTTTTTCCCCAACTGCAAAACACTTCCAACGCACCTGGCTCAATTGTTGAAACAAGTTGCGATGTGAATTGCTCCCTTAGAGGGACACTGACAGGGTGTTTCTGCTTACCAAGGTTTTTATTTGTATACGATATATTAGAGCCCAACTACCCAGAAAACAATTCGCGGCTCGAAATTCGTTTTCTTTCTGCCCGAAAACCACAGATCGAGATCTGGCCGATTTGAGTCGCGCTCACTCTTCTTCTTTGTGGTCACGTGAAGTTCTTAGTGGTTTAGACACACACACACACCAAATATAATCAAAGTCGTGAGTCACCGAAGACACAGGGTCAATATTAAATATAGAAAACAATATGACACTTTTTTTTCTCTCTTGTAGCTTCTAAAAAGCTGCAAATACGTTCATGGAAAAAAATCCTTCAGCCTTTCCACTCTCGTGACGAAGGAAGACCAGCGGAGCTGTACTCGATACACTGTGTGCTTCTTCTTTGTCGTCGTCTGTTTTTCGCGCTGTTTCCTAAGATGAATGGCTGCCGCCATCTACGAGCGACGGCGGAAACCATACTGGTTGCGTGCTTGCCGCCGTCGCTTATAGATGGCGGTAGCTGTCCAGGTAGGTTTGTGTCGACATACACGAACACGATCCTGAGAACCTAGCACTTAACAACCCCGCTGTAAAAAAAAAAAAAAAAAAAAAAAAAAGAAAAGGTACGCGGAGAATTGGGGGCACTTGGTGCATTCTCCGCGTAATTCTCAACATGGCGTCGTATCGCGGGGGTCACGGGATGGATAAACGAAGTGGACTAAGCGATGGCGGTGGGCGACGGGCGTGGGACCTCTATTTCAGAACTGCTGTTCGCGGTGCCGGCGAATCAGTCTAGCTTCGAAAAAGAAATGGTCTACCCATCAAAACAATTAGAATTTATACCGTACGACACGCCCGACCACCAAACTAAATCGCACGAAGACGTCGCCGAATCGTCGCCCCTTCTCCTGGCTGAAGACATCGCTCGT